TTGCAATACAAATTTATTCATTGAAACTTAACTCACAAACTCTAAACTCCTGTTATTACTAATAAATTCATAATAAATTTTACGACTATATTTACAATTACATGTATGTAGTAATCGATATCAATAAAAATACAAAATGCCAGTCGGTTTTATAATTCCATTGACATGACGAATTTAAAATTTGATGGCTCAATCGATAATAATTATTGAAAGGTACACAAATATCATATTTCATTCATGTTTACTTTGCAATTTTTGTTTGTCATTCACTGACAGCCAATTTGGTGATGTAAATAAATGATTTATGGTAATATTTCAATAGCGATTGCAAAAACCGATATTTCAAGGATTTTAAATATATCGGTTTTAACTCTTCCTTTGATATCATGATATGAAATAGATTTTTTTTTATTCTATAACCACATGAAGCAGAGTTATATGCGTTCCATTTTAATTCCAAGGAATGTGTTGTTACTTGGTCCCATGCTATTTATTATCAACCACAATCACCGCCCTATTATCTAATTTCTAATCTAACTACAACTTAATTAATAGTCACTTGTTGAAATCGATTTCGAACTTGATTTATTAATCGAATGACCTGTATTTATTCGTATCGATTTAAATACATAATATCGATTGTGAGAACACGCACTTCCGCTTTCATTTGTAATATGTTTTGACAAATGCTTTTGTTGGCTATTTGTTTTAGTTAATAGCCAGGTGATTGGCTGTGTCGACTAGCTATATATGATGAATGCTCGAACAGAACGGAATGCAAAACTATAATAAGTTACGGGATTAAAAACATTAGATCACCAAATAAATATAAATAATTAAAATCGTGTTTCATTTATTGGCTAAAATAATAATTATAGACGCTCAATCATAAAGCCTAACGTGTAATTTGGTAAAAACCGTGATTTTTCAATGAAAATGTTTTATAATAATATTATATGCGAAATGTCAAGGGAATCTATGATTATAAAAATTAATTGCACGTAAATATTAAAAGAAAAAACTTCCTACCTTAAAATTATAAGACGATTGAACCACGAACAGGTGTTCTTACGTGTACAGATATGAAGGATAATAACAGTTCATATTAAATATCTATTGAATCAATATAAGCTTTATACAAATAATTATTTTTATTCCTTTATATTTTTAATAGCAGTACAATGCAATTAATCATGCAACATTAGAATACAAAGCATTAACAGTGTATCAACTGCTTTACAACCTATTGGCTGATCGGTCATATTAATTAGTTTTGGCTGGTTGCTTAATGGCAACGAACAATAGCTATAAACGAAAAATATTTACACGTTATAAATACACTACAATAACTTACCAACAAGATTAGACTGTAACTCGCCGGGAGCTAAAGAAAAGTAGGATAGAGTATAGTAATATTCAACATTGTTACCATTATAAGTAACCTCCCTCCATTAGCTGATTCTACTTTCGTCTACATACAGCTAAGTACAAAAATATATAATTATAGTTCAATATTTCGTATTTAATATTTTTCTAAACAAAGACCCGAGGGTTTGAACTATCAAAGGTCTCATTACGTGATAATAATTACGACAAAAGACATTAGCTTCTAGGGACTTACCTCGGGCTAATGTGACTTCTTCGCACCATGACTGGTTAATTTGGCTGACGAGTGTGAAGCTATAATTGCGGTTAGCTTGATAGATGAGCTCTTAGTACTTTATGTTTTGACAGCTGATATACCGATATACCGATGGTATTTCGTAAACGGCAGGCTTATCAACTTTTGACTTTTCAATACCGATGTATTATTACGACCTTGGTTTATATTATATATATATTTTTATTATGGTACTTATAATTATATGTTTTTATACATCAATCGATATATACCTACAAGTATTGTATTTTAAATGAAGTGTAAATAGACCACATACTCTCAGTTCAGGAAGACAAGAAAATATATTTCCCCCAACCTATTGCCATAGCAGGGCTACGGGTCTATTTATGCAAATCGTATTGGCAATTACTACAAAAGAAATGGTTCCCTGTAGCTCACGAGTTTAGATTCGTGCGATTCCTTTTCGGGCTATATCTTAAATAATTCCATTGTCTGTCACTCTAGTATATTAATTGTTTGGGTCATGTGTGAACGTAAGAGTTCCAATGGTCGTAAAGCCAGCAATCCGTTTGTATCGGACGCGGGTCTAATTAAGATGGCATTTGTAAACGTACTGTAAATAGCTTAAATAACGATCTAACCTTTCTCCGGTGTTACACCGTTTGGTAACTGCTAGGTCTTATTACCATTTGTTTGTTACACTATGACGCTATTTATTTTTAGAAAGCGATCAGATTACGGTATAATTAAATATGTATTTACTTAATATTGAAATCATATAAAGAGTGTATAAGATATATTATAAAAAGACAGTATTATTATATTTTTTATTTCATATAAAATAAGAAAAAAGAATCAAAATTTCAGCCTAGCCTGTTAATTCTGATCTCAAATACTTTATAGGAATAGCGAGTATATTTAAACCGAGGCAGGTGGTTAGCTAAATTGAGATGTTCGTTAGCCCATAATGGTATGTATCTAGTCAATCTCAGCGAGTTATTTCTGTCGCCCGCCACCATTGCCGTGTGTGATTGGACGCGAGCTCATTTTTAATGCTATTCGCTCGGCTCGACATTTCAAGCCAAAACCGAAACTTATTCAACCAAATGAAGAAATAAAACTTTTATAAAAATATTATATTTTTAATAAAATTAATTAATAAACTCTCGCTACATCAAACAAGCTAACACTAGACATTTATTGAGTATTTCGAATGATAGTTTCAATTAATTAAGCGAAGCATGACTGGATAAAATAGATGCATTATAACCTCTTTGTTATTTATATCGGTAATTTTAATATAAAATATATGAAAATAATATATGATATACATTTAAAATTAACTTTTATATATCGAAATACGTTAAGCATTATGAATTAGAATCAGTTAGACAGTTCGTGAGGCTATTTGTAGTGACATGGATTAATATTCAAGACGAGCAAGCTATTATACAACGATTAAATATAATCGCCCTCTTTTATCTCAGGGAATTGTGTGAATTTATACCTCATATTTATCATAGTGCAGGTTAAAGGTTGTTTTCGCAACTTTTGATCTAGAAACTGTTTCCACATTATGATTTAAATTTTGTTACAAATTATACATGTTGGATTTATTATTCATTTTATGCAATTGATTATCTTGTTTTAATTACATAATTTATTTTATAGAAATAGTTCATGTATCTTCTTCTTCTACCTGGCAATTTCCCAGCTATAGCCAGGGTCTGCCTTATATGTAATGAATAGTTTTGGCTATTTGTGCTTACGACCGACCGCCTGCCTGACATCAACCCTCTTTGGGAATGCATTGATCAGTGATGTCTAAATACTCTTAGAAAGTACCTATGACTCAGAAAAATCTCATTGGTACTTGCCCGGGCCAGGATCGAAGCCGCGCCCTCGTGCATGAGAAGCGGGCCTTTTAACTACTAGGCCACCACTGATTCAAATAGTTCATGTATTTATTTAATAGTTATTATAAAGGCTCCTTAAAGATAGTTTAGAAAGTATACATTGCGTCGGGTCCATTACGGCTGAAATATCGATATCTTATCGATATAATCGGATATAATCTCGGTTATTGTTTATCAATATTTCAAGTCGCCTGGAAAGTATCGATAGTATCGATTAATTACGATATTTGTCCATAAGTGCTCTACGTGACATTGATTAAAGAAGTTAAGGTGTTAGAGCTTAATTTTTTTAACAAAGACACCTACATATTCATTATTTTAACTGTAAAATTATTTCTTACGATACTATTATTTTATTTAATGATATTCCAATGATTCCGCCTTGCTTTCTTTTCCATTTATCTGTCTTTATATCATCTCTTAACATATATATCTGTCTATATGTCTCATCTTATTGGGATATAGACATTCGTCTCATTAGATCTATAGATGAAATTGAATTTACAATAAATCAAACTTCAAATAAACATATTATTTTGGGTTAAAGTAATGTTTTGTTAACACACATTTTTCTTTAATAAAACTGTATATAAATGAGTACAATTGTTACTAAAGGAACATTTGTATTAAAATATCACAACTTATTTATCTTAATTTGATATATTTGAGCAATAACTTAATAGTTTCGTATATTTTATATACCGTTCGCCCTTTTATTGACCACAGACTATAATCAATCAGTTGCACAACCTAACCGCATCTTTCAACAACCGTTTAACGAATAATATTCTCAATTACAATATCCTTTCACAAATAGTTTAATGTACTGTCAACACAAAAAAATATAAAGAAAACATTATATATAATACATTTATTTATATTAAAATCATGACAAATTAAAAATAAATTGATTGAATTTTACGATTTTCCTGGTTGAAATTTTTGTGGTTTTAAACAAAAAAAAGATATAATGTAGTCATAAAATTCAGGTGATAAATAAAGCAATAATACTCATAGAATTAAATATAATTTACAAACTTTATTATAAGCGATTTAATTCATATATTTTTGATTTAATTTACTTATCTGCTGACGGTACAGACACGTAAAGGAGACAATACTGTATCATGTAATCCAATACAGATATATATCTGGATCTCGCCGCTCAAATTGTCAATTGTTTTGGATTTTCGCTTACGATTTAGACTTAGTCATTGTTTTGTTACTCCAGCATCTAAAATACAAGGAAACTTAGAAACTAAAACCTAGGACCAGTATTATATTACAACAATATATATTTGATCAAAACTTCTATAGTAAGAAAAGAATTTAAAAGTTTTGTTTATTATTTGCTCGCATAGAACCCAGTGTGTACAGACCTTAATAGATGGCATTTCACTTTGAATGGCAACGCTACATTTTCTTATCGATCCCAAGCACATTAGCTACGTATTAACTGTTTTATGGACGAGGCCGGTGGGTGTGTAATGTCCCTCTAAATGACAATACACGGTACATAACGCAATCAACGTACGCTTTCTCATATACACTTAAATTACGGGAAATCTCTGGAATATTCGAGCGATTTTAATGTTTTGATACTATGTACTATGATGATGCTTGATGGCTAGACCCGTGGCTATAAATCTAAGGTTTAAACCATAATAGTATCGACTGTTCGATAGTAGTGTATATAGAATGTAGTGTATATTGAAATACTTATTATTTTGCATATAACAGATTAGAGTGAATAATTTTTTTTATATAAAAAATCGAAATTTTGAATGACATAGTTCAATATGAATCGGTAATTACTTGTAGGTAGGTACTTATATGAAATCAAATTGATCTAAAATGTTTTTCTTTTTTTGGATTAAATCCTATTATATATATAATATAAATATATATTAATTATTTTTTTTGTCGACAGTATTCAAACGCTTTGACATCAACCATCAACCATCTAACGCGCCGAATTTTGGATTTTCTAAGGTAAGATATATAAATAATAACATTAATTCATACTAAACTAATACAATTAAGTAATTCTTAATATAATTATAGATTAAGTAATGGTAGAAAAACTATACAAACAATAGTAATTCCGCCTCAACTCTAGCGTTTCCCACGCTTCATTGTGCTCTACAAATTGGTAATTCTTATTTCCATCCCTTTTACACAAACGACGTTATACCTACCCCAGAGTGAGATAAAATATTGATTTCATTTCAAGTAAACTACGTATTAAATAGGCGTGGCCCTAAAGCCTCTTATTAAGCTCGATTCAAGTATTTTTAGTACAAATTTAATATCTTTCTTTACAGATGTATAAATTGTGTAATATTTTTTAAATTGTAGAAAATATTGTGTCTTTTCTATTTTAGACTTAACTATGTATCTAGAAAAAAAAATGCTATGAAATTTATGCCCAAATATTATATATAATCTCCAAAATAAAATTTGCTGTTTCAATAAAAATATAAACATCAATTTTATTTAAATATTTATAATTTAATAACATGGTAATTATTATTGGTTTATTATATAAATGTTTTAAAATAACTATTTTAGCAGAAAATCGTCTGAGCCTTGAGACTTGAACCGGGAAGTCGTTATAATTTTTTGTAAACAAAAATTTTTGTCATATTCCGTGAAGAAAAAATTGATAAAAATAAAAATTGTGTTAAACGAACGCTGTTAATGCATCCTCACTTGTTCTAGGCTCTAAATGGTTTCTTGATGATGATGACTCAGAACGGAAAACTCTTGTATATATCAGACAACGCGGCTGAATACCTCGGACATTCGATGGTGAGTTTTTATACCTTATTAAAAAAAAAACTTGTCTATGGTCGATCATATCACTAACATTTTTTTATCATGACTTATTTAACGCTTCTAACATTAATATTACACTTTTTTAATTTTTATATATATTTTTACTAATAAAAATAAAAAATCTATATATTATTTATGTTTTTGAAACATCAAATACGACTAAGTACGCAAAACCTAAGCATAATATTCTAACACAGAACAACAATGTCTGCCATCAATCACTAGAACGTAATAACAAACTGCTAATACGTTTAAATGGTCCTGATATTTATTTACAATCAATATAGTATCTAATTTTTCTCAAAGACCGCCGGCGCTGGTCGAACTGTGACCCCGAACGGTCGCTCGTTAGTATGGAGCTCGATAAATTAATCACTTTGCTTTATTGTCTGCGCGGTTACACAGGGTGATTTGTTAAATACATCTATATATAACTAAATAAAACACATTAGAAATATAGATATAATTATTCATTTATTTTACTATAAATAATGAATTAAAAATATTGTTACTGATAACTAGTATAGTATTTTTTATGTTTTCTTTGTGAAGCATCCTGTATATAACATTTGGCGGTCGGTGCGCTACTACAAATGCACAATGATACCAGTTCAATATATTTAAATTATGATTAATACAACTTCGGTTCAAGTGTTGCCACAATGATAGGGATCAAGTGATACCTTATTTTTATTTTTATATGTATATATTTTTTATAAATAGGTAATATAAAAGTAAGTTAAATGAAACTGAAAATAATATGTGTTTGGTTTTATAATAATAATTTAGTGTATTGAAAAAATTATTCACACGAAATTATATTGCTCATAAACATGTCAAATATTTCAAAGGTCACCTAAATAAATAGCCAGGAATTATTTTATTTATTCTGTGAAACGTTTGAAAAGAATATATTTTTAATATAGCCTTCATAAGCTTATATACAGGTGGGCTTTTTTGAACTTTAACAAAGGCTTTCAAATTAATTGAACCCACTGTATCATAAAACAACACAAGTTTGTTAACACCAATTACAAATCTCCTTCATTTAGTTTAAGACGAAAGTTTTGATTTCTGTTTCGAATAAGATTACTAAAATTATGAGATTTTTATATTATTAACATTTAATACTTGAGCTAAAGATAACCAAATTTAATTTAAATAAACTAACTGGTATAAAAATATAATGTTGAATCTTAAGACAAAACTTCTCATCATTCAATGTAACTCTCGTATTGTAAAGGAGCTTCAACAGTGCCTGGGACTTGCGACCCAGGTATAGGTTTAAGGGAGCCCTATCTAACGCGCGTTAAACCCTCACCTCCACTGTCCAAGCTCCTCTCTTTACCTAACCAAAGTTAAAAAGAGCCTACTAAGTCCGCTTTCGAAGTACGTTCCAAGAATGAATTGAATTTAGTTCTGGACCAACCCAAGACTTTTAGTAACATATTTCAGTATTTACAGACAATACAAATAACAGTTAGAAACGACTAGTAACTTACAAGTAGTAAAGTATATTCATTATGTTACAATACTATCTGATAACAAAATATCGATGAATATTAACACAAACTAAATATAATCTAGATTATCCTATTTAAACATACAATAATATCATTCAAACCGATAATTTAAACCCAATACATTTAAAATTTCATTTAAATATTAATATAGAGCAGTATTATATATTATTTATTAACTCAATAATGTATGGAGATGAGACATCTAGATGGTGTATTGACTTCAAAGAATCTAGATGGTGTATTGACTTCGAATATAATCCAAAAAATTATAATGACAAAAGCAAGTTTCTATTAGAAAAAAGATCTTAATCCAATCTCAAGCATCTCCAATATTCCCACGATACTGTTCTTATAAGGTCTGTAATGATCGGTACTCGTCATTAAAAACACCAAAAACAACAATCAACTGTAACACTATAATATAAAGTTCATTTTACTATAACAAAAATAGCATCCTCGAAGCAATATTTTATTGTTATTTCGCAATTAAGATTAATGATAAGATTTAAGAGTTAATAAGTACTTAATCCAAATATCCAGTTAAAAACAATGCAGTTCAGTTAATACGGCTTTTAGATAGAAATTATGCTGTGGGCGTATTATTAGATACATTCAAAAATAATCGACTGAATATTAAAAAAATCTATATACTATATTGATAATAAATGCCTTTTAATTTTTATTACTCAGATTATTTTAGTCGATACGATGTTACAGTTATTTTTAATAATAATTTAATATATTCTAAATTGATAAGTTAGTTTTCTATATACATATAAATAAGCTATCATGATCTACATTCAAAAAGAAAAATATAGTAAAAGAACAATTAAAATATATTTAGAGAGTGATTCAAATGGAATATAATTTTGCAAGATTAATCATTATATTTGTCTCAATTAACTTATAGAATTAATGCTATTATAAATCTCTCATGTGAACCACACACGTTGTTAATCGACTGTATAAACAATGGTACGTTGAATTGAATATGCAAACTTTACAATGTTATAACAGCAATGTTCTTTCGTCGCTAACCGTGCCGATATATTGATGTTAAACATTAATACCTTTGTTATAACACCACCAAACTTACCTGGTCCTTCCATTTAATATCTATCGTTGGAAATTGGTTCAGTTTCTCAACAATGGGAAGGGTAGTGAGGGTCAAGTTAGATTGGTCGCCACGTACGGGCGTAGCATAGCCCGAAGCGCGGTATATTTATCATTGTTATGTAACTCTTTTGTGAGTATATCTGTTTCATTACAAAATTTATATGATTCGATTAAACACTTATAATGATATTTAAAATTGACAATCGAAGTATTTTCTTATATTAATAGATGAAAATAAAACAAACAAAATTCATATTGATATTCATTTATGTTATTTCATTGAAATAATATTATAATGTGGAGCAAATAATAAATCATTTGATTAATTTGTAACAATTAAAAACTGTCTATCATTAACTCCCTCGGGGCCGACAGAGGGCGTTGTGTAATGAACTTACTATGCTATTTGTTTAAACATTTGACTCAAATGATTTATGGGCTATATCACTCAGATAATTTTAGTTCATATAAATACTTTTAGGGTTTGACCACAATAACACCGGTTAATGCATTAATTTAACCGGTAAATTTAAAATCTTTTTTGTCTAAACGTTGTTTATTATTTGCGTATAAATATCAAATTCCTAATCAATAAACTATATCAAATCTTGGGTCATTGAGACGTACACAACCTATAGCATTTCGTTATTTCAAATCTCTGTATTTTAATACCGTTAGTTCAACATTTAGATTATAGATAGAAATGATTGGTTGAAACGTCTCTTGTTTATTGTGAAATTCGTTTTGCTGGATACAGTTTTAATACAGCCGTGTTATTATGTGTAATTAAAATTAAAACTTTTCATTAACCGGTTCCGAATGTTCAGTGAAAGTTATTAATCAATTAAAATTATTAATAGGATATAATTTCTTTATACAAGGATATTTGAATATAAATATTTTCTTATTAAATATATGTCATAGTTTTAGCAGACCCTGGCTAAAGCTGGGAGGTTGCCAGGAAGAAGAAGAAGATATTTCATAGTTTTGAATCACCGTTTCGTTTTCGATGCAACTCTCATATTTACGACACGCTCGTACACTTATTTATAATGATTTATTATGAACGGATGCAGCTCATATATATCACTATGTTCGGAGCAAGGACATAGATAGTTTTATGGTTTTAAAGAAAATTATATGTGAACTAGAAATTTACACCTTAAAAACAAAACGAAATTGGATAGTAAAATATTAAGTTTAGTTTTAAAAAAGGCTTATAATATTATTTAAGAATTTTGTCGTTATAAATGCAATAAATATTACATTTAAATTATAGTTAAAAAATGTTTTTATGACTAAACTGATCATTCCAATTATATCCAAGAAAGGCAATTCTGTCCCAAGTTGGTGTAGAAGTGAGAATCTCGGAGGTTTAAACAAAGGTTCCAGATAAAAGTCTTCCATTTTGGAACAGTTGAATAATTTGACATAATATTAAATGAAAACGTCATTTGTATGAGCAGAACTCAAAAGTGCCACCTTCGGAAGATCGAAAAATGTACCATCATTCTACATAGGTGCACTTAAATTCAAATATACGCTCAGTATTAAAATATGTATTAGAAACATGATTCAAATCCATAAGTTCTGGAGATATGAAACCGAAATAAACACAAACATACACGCATAATATAATCCTGATTTTGGATCAGTAGTTAAAAAGTCAGTTACATCAATAAAATGTTAATTATATAACTAATATTTGAAATCAATTAGAATATGTAGTATCAATTGAATGATAGTTTATGCAACATAATAATCAAAATTTACTTGCAAGTCACTAAATAGATAAACGTTTTATAAATGTAGTTAAAACATTGTAACAATAACCAATGGTTAAGCACTTACGATTATCAAACCGATAATAATAGCTTAAATTAACCTGAGGCTATTTGTCATTACTTAGCTAACTATAATTGCTGCATATTCATAAGTATGGGTAGCTTTTTATTCATCAAGAATAGAAGTAATAAAGAGGTATTTTAAAAAGTCCCAATACGATCGTCAAGTTCTTTAGTATATTTTTTAAGTATTATTTAGTGAATTGATAATTGCTTCAAAGCGCTTTGAATTTTTTTTACCTATTTTTTAACTGCTACGAATTTCCTTAAATTTCTTTTGTTATGTTTATGTATCTTCATACTTATATATTTGTTGTTTCCATATCGTAAATGTCACTCAATAAAGATTATTTTTGACCCTAAAAATATCCAAGATTTCTATACTCAATTTATACCAAGTATTTACATTTAAATATAAGTTATATCTACTAATATTCCATTTGATCGTATTTATTAATATCGCATCCTTAATGAAACAATTATAAACTATAACAAAATATTAGTAACGTAATGCTTATAATCTCATAATTCCATAATAGCTTGAGTTATTTGCGGATATTCCGCAGCCCCCCATGCGGATGTCGGCTTGTGCGGGCGCATTATGTCTTAGCGGATCTTTTACGACAGGTGGGCGTGTCTTCACGTGACGTTAGCTAGGGTCATCTCGCATTTATACGTAAATTAATTATAATTATAGTTATCAAAAAAAAAAAAGTAAAGGCGCATAATTAAGAGAGTGTTAATATTTAACCTTTGTTTAGGGTTGGAAATGTAAAAAATATATATTCAGTTTTTGGCGCAAATTTTCAGTTGACTTGACAACCCTAGCAGTATTCTATTCCCTGGATATTCTGAAGTACTCTTCAAAGAAAATATGATTTAACTTAAGTTAATAAAGCCGACCTAGGTTAATTGAAATTTGTTTAATATTATACATAAAACAAAGAAGATTCAACGATTTTATTAAAACTGTCTAACTCAGACAACTCGAGATTGTGTTGGAGTCTAGTAATTATTTTAATATGCTACAATTAAAGTGTAGAATATTTTCTCTCTAACTTTATTCATGTATTTGTTATGAAAATGTTTGATGTCGTTGATGTAAAAAGACATTAGTGTTCTACAAGATGATGTTCTCATTAATATGCTTAATTTTATTGATCGATACATGTTATAAAAAAAATATATAGCCTAAATAAGATATATGTATATAGACAAAACTCCAAACTATAGATATTATAAAATTTTGATAAGAGAAATAATACAAAAATATACACAACTTAAAAGTACTTTAATGTTTTATGAATCAAGTTGGAAATGAAAGAAATAAATTTGATTACTACCAAAAGTTCGCCAGGCGCAAGGATTCAACAAATGGTTTTATATTTTAAACAGTGTACACCTTTACAAGATTGCTTCGACAAAACCACATCAGTATAACTTTAACCACTAACTTGGCATGTATACAGCCCAAAACGAAATATTTTTCTCATATATGTATAAGACGTCAAATAAGTCAGTCAGTCAATTAGAATAAGTCAGTCAATTTCGCCAAATATTTAATGTCATTTAATCCACTAATTTCAGATATTTTCACTAATGAATATTTACTAACGGAATATCATTATATATCTACAGGATTCACTATAATTTCCTTAAAAGTTTATCCAACATCATACTTGATAAAGCTAGTTAACCTTGACCTTAATTCTATATTCTTTAATTTTTCTTGATAACTCACTAATATATCATTACAGGAGGACCTATTAATTCACGGAGACAGTGTGTATGATGTGATCGACAAACAGGATCAGCAAGCTGTGAGAACAGAGCTCTCCAGGGCTCCCACTGATGGAGAAGATAGAGTGTTCCTGTGTCGTATGAATGTGGCTCGAAACGCGAGGAGACAGATGCGGTTTGGTGATCAAAAGGTTGGTTACATCTTCATTAGCGACAGAGATCAACAACTGTTGTTGTTAACGACAGCTGTTGTTGATTTCTATATATTGATATAACAATTGTGTTTTGCTCTTAATTGCTGTCTATTAAATTTTGTTGATTAATTTGTGTCTTCCATGGGTGTAACAAAAATTGTTGTATAATTTGGATGCCTGGAAACTTATCTACTTAGTTGAATTTTAAGTAATACTTCGTTGACTATGAATAGAAATAGTTTTGATATTTTGCAATTAAAATGATAAGAAATTCATTTTAAATCCATCTTTATTTGTATATCACTAATTTGAAGAACATAACACGTATAACAAGTCTCTTAATTATGTGCTTATAATTAACATGTTAACAAAAACTTTTACCTACGTAATTACATGTTGTATAATGAGCGATATAAAACCTACTTCATAAATAAAGTCTGAAAGATCTTAATTGACTGTGAGGCAAGAAAATTAAAAGCTACTTTTTAATTGCCTAAAGTAGAAACACATCACAACCTCCGAACTGATTGATAGATGAAAGTCCAACGTTTAAACCACAAAGATGTGTTTTATAACAAATTAATATAACTCCATAGATTGGTTTGTAGTTTATTTAATTACGGTTGTCTCGTATTTTTAATTATATGTAAGTGTCTATTACCTATCAAATACTTTATAAATTAAAACGTTACTTCACTAGTAACCGTCGCGTCGTGAGCAAGTTGTTCAAATTGTAACGTCACTCATATTGACTTCGTTTTTAAATATAAATGAAATTGATGAGAACATAATTAACAAGTTTACTTTCCAATCATTTTAGGTGATAAAATATACCTGTTATTTATTCGGTGATTGGTTCAGCACATAAATATTTTCTTTTAAATTAATACTCGCGAAAGTCTTAGATCTCACACATTTTCTTGTATATATTTTACAAAAATTGATCTTATAAGGATAAACTAAATATTTTATTAGATAAAAATATCTGTAGAACTAGTACATTTTTCCTTAATGGCAAACATCCCTATATTTTATCCACCTATGAATATCCACTGATCTCTAAAAGAAGGCGTATCAGAAAAGGTCAGATTGACGGACAAATTGATAGCCATCGATACACACGTTATTACACGTAATTGAATACTCACGTTAGAAAGCGATGGTGTGAAGTTTGACCAGATTTCCGTAATTATTTCTCCGAGGGTCATATGATGGGTTATAATCAGGTTAATGTTCTGATTACCTAAGCGGTAATACCCACTGACCTGAACGATTATCCCTCTACCTTGCGTAAAATATAACGATAGTTTCATGAAAACAAAATAGCGAAAATAATAATTTTAAGCTAAATATTAAAGTAAGACGAAAACTTTTTTTGATTACTTATACGTATTTAATTGTACAAAATAATCACAAATAAAAATAAATATATTCAAACGTCTAACAAATTATAAAATCAAAGAAGTCTATACTATAATAAACCATAGTGGTATTATAAAAAAAATGACAATTTGTTAAGTGACAGTACTTAGTTTAATAGCACACGTCCAAGCCGCAGTGAGCTATTTATTCTGTCAAACGCCCACACTCAATAAGTGGTTCGCAGATAGAAGGCGAAGGGATATGGATATAACAAACATTCCCAGTTTCAAGTTTATTGTCTCCAATTAATATTCAAGCAGCACGTGCTACTCCGCTGAACACGCACAGACACTAGACCTGTTTGCTTTTTATTTTTGTAAACACTTGAGATTTTTTTGTTTTTTTTTTTTTGGTATAAGTTTTATTTGTTCGTCAGTGAGATATACTGCGAAAATATTTTGTATAGAGAAGATAAGATGCGAAATTTTTTAAGTATCTTGAGTTAATGTCTGTGTTGTACCGATTCAGTGTTTTTGTCGTGCGATATAATGTCGCACGTTCGCCTAATAATAACCTGCATATATCATTTTAGACGTACTCACTACGTGTACTGCAAATTGCTTTGGCTTTTATTTAAATATACCGATGAGTATGTGGCAATACTTTTTTCCTATTATATTTACGAGTAAAAAAATTTTAATGTAAAAAATATTTGTAACTTTATAATTTTTTTACACTCTTTAAGATTATATTTTTTTCTTAGAGTTTTAATTACAACATATTTTTTTATAATGCTGACCATTATACACAATACATTTTAAACAAGTTAACATTTATGTTTCATTAGTCTGTTTACGAGTTTAAAATTATAAAATATATGACAGTAAAATATAAATATATCAGCTGTTGTACCACCGACGTACATCTTATATCACTCAAATATGCTAATATACAATTTTGCAACGTAATAATTCCTGCCAAACATATTCTAAGAAGTCTATGAAGAAATAGGGTCGTGTAAATAAATTGTCAAATTAATTCAACATCATAAACAAACAGTTATGAATGTTTTTATTATAATTTATCCCTTGTAAATGAATGATAAATGCATTATGATAACTAGATATTGAATAATGGTCACTTTATACGGGTCGTTTCATAATAGATATCAATCAGGTTAACTGTATAGTGTAGAAGCTTTGTTTTATCATTTTACAGTCTGATATGGTGTTCATTAAACAAAGCAACACCGCAGGAATAATATAATTTATAATCTCATTGCATTTGAAAGATCTGTTTAAATTGTAATTCGCTTAAACGTACGTAAGATTCAATTTTATTGCTGTAAAGCCGTAACAGTTTGATAAACCTTGTAACCTTAACTAATTAAGGGCAGATAATAAAAACAATGGCTGACATTCACAATTACAGTGCGCTACGTAACTATTAACTGATACCCTCATCTGTTGATGAAGTTAAGAACTGCCACATTGAAGCTAATGAGGCTTATCAGGTCCGGACATAGTGATACTTGAACGAAGCCTCGGAACTTGTTAGTAACTCAAAGTTAAGGACCCGATCCAATGTTAGATATAAATATCATTAAAACAACTAACATGATCACTTATAGTAAATTTACTTGTAATCCTTATTTTTAATATACTCGTATCAAAATCTTTCAATACATGTAGCATCTATAATTCATTTTCTTTAAACACTATATTTCCTTGACTGTCTTTTATATATTTCTGATGCCTGCTCCGTTTTCTTATCAATTGTTATTTTCGCTACCTTTCTTTAACAGTGCTATCATCTCCTCGTTAGTAGCAATTTTTTTTCTACAAGATAAACACAACAAACGACAGCACGAGAAAACCAACCACGCCACTAGAATCGCTAAAACCATCCATAAGGTGATATCAATAATATCCCATTCCGCTCCCACAAACACCATTTTATCTTTGAGTAATTTTGTACAGAGTGCACTTTGAGTACTATCCACAGTAAATGGATTTACTAGTATGCTATCATTAATATCTTTTGCTAGTTGATGGAAAACAGCTTTACACAGCCAATCAGCTAAATCGCTCCTGCCAAGTTGACGAAGTCTGTGCGCTATAACACCGTGTGTTTTATTCCCACCCTGCCAGGATTCCTTTCCTCCGCTGTAATCAATTAAAAGCCTTACGCAGCTCATGTTGTTGCTATTAACAAAAGTTAACGAAGACGGCATCTTGTAGGAGTTGTAGTGAAGTGACGCTATGAGTTTAATGCATTCCTCATGAGATATGCTGCTAGCGATATGAGAGAACTGTGGCACATTCATGTCTATGATACATTCTGTGAGCGATAAAACAAAAAAACTTATTAAAACGCCTGTACCAGAATAACTAATTGGATACATGTTATTTATTTATGAATTTCTATTAAGTCAAATTTACTTATTGACGTTGATATGTAATTTATCTGTCAATTTCAAATAACTTTTTTTCTGAGCATATTTTTTTTAGATAGTTTTTTCTCTTCACACTTAAATTATTTATGTGTTATTTTATAGATGTAGACTTAACATGTTATTATCGACAACATTTTGATACTCATGCACTTGTACTTGTCAAAATTATGGAATTAATAATAAGTATCATATATTAGACATTAGTTCAAATAACTCATTAGTCAATTATGGAAATGTTTTATAAAAGGAAATTTTGTCCTCCCCCCCCACCACTCCACGTATACATACATCGAAAACTGAGAATTCCTATTTAATATTATTTATAATCTTACCGTAAACCCATATTAAACAGTTTAAAAAAGCCTTAAAACAACATTAGACTAATAACAAAACAAAAAACAGCGTAAGAATTAAAAGTGACTGACATAATTACGATTGGATCACAATTGTCTGACCGAAAACCGTCCAAGATATTAAATGTGTACTGTATATTATAAGTGACATAGGAACGCAATTAATCACATTATTCCATTCTCTTCATCAATTATAACAAGTTTTAGCTAACATTATATGACTACCGTCCGAGCCCATCGATCACATGATCATTGGAAAACCTACAACATACGATATTATGCTTTCCCATCACATAATAAACAACCTTATGCTACACTAATAAGAGCGTTTTCCTATTTACACAAACGAAATAACGCGGACCGTTTAGTTATTAGTGAGAGAATAATCTATTTCTGTATGGCACATAAGTCTAATCGAAGCACATTCCAACACACAAAACATCACAAACGTTAGCCATCATTATACAATGACAAAAGAAACTTGTGCAACTGCTTCAAATGTACTCAGAGTAGCGTCCGCAGAAAATTGTATCATATCAAAAACAAATAGAGTTAAATTGTACATAAAAGTCTAAAATTTTGCGATTATAGTAAATCTTTGATTTTTTCTTTCAAATAATTCTCATATAATTCTTTTTTTTTCTAATATTTTTCATTATGAAGTTGATAATAAATAATATTCATTGCTCCACATTGAGTTGCGGACCGTACCTCGATCGGTTCCAGTATACTAATCTTATTCCATACAACAATAACGGCTCGGAACGTTCAGAGCAAAACATTCATACACAACTATACGTCGCTTAGTATTTAGGTTAAATATAACAAATATGATTCTCTTTATATATAATACTATAGCAAGAATTTAAGCAAGATAAAATACGATTAAAAATATAATTATAATTCATCGAATATAGGTACGTATATAGCGATAACTTCACAGTCAAAATACGCCTAGCTATATCCTTCTTCTTATTGCCAATTTAATTTTCAAGGTAATATAAACAAAAATGTAAACACGCTCGTATTTCGTTTGAGACAAACTTAAAGGTCGAGAACCACGCTTTGAGCTCGTCATGGATCTTCACTGTTGACTTATAATGGACCATTCAACATGAATTGACATTGTTGCTGTAATCCAACGAACATTTGACTTGACAAGGCTGGAATTTCTTTTGAAACTGATCTCAATTTTACATGTATATAAAACACAAATTATTCTTTAATACATTTGAATCTCACAATGTTATTACAAATCCGTAATGACTTATTAATTTAATTAACATCATATCGCTAACAGAATGCCGAAATCAATCGATCACAAACTAAAACTCAAGTTTCGCAATCCTCTACACGATCGTAATTAAAGAGCGGTACAATTACCGTAGTTTATAGATACCTCTAATTATATGTATTTGATGTTTTCTATGCGCTGTGACGAAAGAAGCCACATGGTATGGTCATTATTTGAATTAATATATCTACGTGTTGGACGTTGTATGGAATTATAACTTGATTTTTATAGCGTCCGTGAGAACATGAACAAATGATATGTCTCTGTAATAGACTAATTCATTTGAGCATTCAGAATCGTATGTAATTGATGTATATTGTATGGTATTGGTTTTTTTTTCGATGTTCAATAGTGAGGCGTACGCTAAATGTTGCAATGACATTTGACATCATGCGAACCAATGTTGGCCAATTTGGAAAATGTATTTTTTGGCCGTCACGTTTATAACATGAGATCGAACTAATGTTATTTTCATAGCTAGAATCTTTACATAAATTTAAAATAATAGACATTTAAGACCGTTTAAAAATGATCCACATTAAGACATCCGAAAAAAACCGAGAATGTTGGAATCAAAAAAATCTGCTATAAGGAATAATTTATATACGCTAAATTTGAAAAATATAGTCTATATTTAGTTATTATTAATCCTTTTTCTACTAAATGAATGTTATGAACATTGACTTTGCATTATATAAGACTCGCAATTATGTGATGTAAAGCAACATTTCGTAATAATCTCAATTTGAAAACGTATCTATGTATTGAACGTTTAGAAATTGATGTTAAATATACCTTGTAAAATGATTGCTTCAGTTAATTAGCAGTACCAATTAAGATCGAAAGTTTATAACATTGCTGTTCCGGATAAATGTTTCTGATTCCAGTGCAGATGGGACCAACATTTTCAATTGATTGAATTTTACGAAACCGTTTACTTATATTTATAGTATGGATACGAACAAGGTTCATTAATATATTTTACTGGCATGCAACATTTGCACAAGTATGTAACCTCATATAGGTGTATGATATCGGGAAAAGAGCTATTGCGGGCGCTTTTCGCTTGATATATGAGGTAAAAAATATCCAAACTTAATTTCTTTTTGCCTAAATATTGAGAACTCTGACCACAAAAATCAACTAACTTCAGATCTCTTAAAAACAACAAGGTATTACTCCTATGAAATGAACAATGTCATGTCATATTCATTTGTACTTAATACAATAGTTACAATAACCGAAGCCTAGATATTTCAGGCTTACGTCAAGCAAAATATTTACCTACAATGTCTTAGATTCGGTGTAACATTCCGTATAATTAAGATATAACCAATTATTACACTAATCTGAAAAGACTTAAATTCTGATCAATAACTAAACTATCCAAAGAAAATCTTATTTCATTATTTATTCAGCGTAAGAAATTCACAAAAAAGGTATTAATGCATTTTACGAGGCAGTTCAGAAAACATTTAAAAGTCCGTGCCACCTTATTTAAATGAAGGCTCACACTACACTCACACACGTAACCCGGAGCGTCGTTAGAGCGGCGATGCATTTATTTATGAAATGTAAATTCATCTGATTGTAATAACAAAACTCCAGAGAGCCACCGCACTCTATATTAAGATGTATTATTTGCATACTGTATATTGTACGTGTGACCGTGTGTGATTTAATGGACTTATTTTGTTTCTTTTACTGATCGATATATTAGTTTCGAGAAGTAACATTGAAATTTATTTCAACTAATTATAAAACAGTAATGTTATTTATTCTAAATAAATATGTTGTTTATGGGATTCTTGTTAAACATAAGAACGGTGAATGCCTCGGGGTAGTGAACCCTTTTTTTAAGTCGTGTCTGTGTGAATTCGGGCAGCGTGCGCACGCGCAGGCTCCCATCAAGTGACGTCACCGCGTCACGATTCCTCTTACTATTATAAAAACCGAACAGATGTGTGATTATTATGCAATATTTAATACGTTTTATGTGTATAAAACAAATTTTGTAATTCATATTAAAGTAATATTTAAAGCAAGTACATAAAAATGTCTATAATTTTTCTTAAAATCATGTACTGATTTCTGTTATACGAAATTCGTAAAATTACAAAGTTATTTGTAAGCGAGACATGAAAATCGTGTGATTAATAATAAATTTATTAAATTATTAAATAATATCTTAGAAAATCATGCAACGAATATTATTATCATAATTGATATTGATAATGATAAATTGGCTCTAAATTCTAATAAGAAATGTATATGAGGCCTAATAAAATTTTATTCAATAAATTATTATCGAATTTAATGTAATTTTAGTTATGATAATTTCTTTGTAATGTTATCTGGGGTGTTGGAATATTATATTTTGGCAATATTCATGTTTATAACATATAAGTGCGCTTGAAGAGGATTCAATATAAAAAAGGTTTCTAAGATGGTAGGTGCTATGTGTATAGTGACGTAAGAATTCGTGACTACGGCCGAACGTGACTGATTTGACCGAATATTTTCAACAACTGTATAAAATTGTTTAACCGATATTTCATAACAGCTGCGGTGTGTCTTTAATTGATAGTGTGTCGCAAAATTTTCATACAATTAATTGACGTAATTACAACAAATTGTATCGATGAATCTAAAAAAAAACATAAACAGAAATCGAGGGTTAAACACTAATAGTTAATATCGTTCCATATCAATAAACGAACAGTTATATTTTAATGTAGGCGGAGTCCTGATTCTGGTATGCAGTAAACATGCTCAGACAATATTTACACTAGCTTAAATCGTATCGTAACAAAATACTAACAACAAAGCTATAAAATCAAAATTATCACACCTTTAAAACCTAGCGCCTTTCACTAGATAAAGACACCATAAACTCAAAGCACCACAATTCCGAATAATAAAATAATTTCAAGTATATCTTCATATTTTAGACGATTTAATGATCATCTAAGGTAATCGAGTGCCGTGTTTATGTTGATTAAACTGTGCCCTAACTTATTATTATAATAGTTTAAAATAACCAGATTGTTCGGTTATTAATTTTACTGTTTGTTTTCATCGAATGATGTTAATGTAAAATTTCCATTACAATGTTAGATTGGATTTACAGAAATGTAAATAAAAAAACTCTTTGCCTTCTACGAAAAGAGTTACGTACTTATTTGTAAATAAAAAAATATTTGTTATAGTAATTATATCATATTTTCTTGTATAAATTCAACTTATTATTTTAATTACGAAGTAAAATATCCTGGTAGTATATTTCAAAAGATATTACAGATTTACTATAAACTTTTTCTTAAGCTGTCATATGTATTAGGAATTTTGATCGCAAGCAAAACCGCATTAAAACCTAGTTTTATTAACTCCTGATATTCATCAGCTTGGTAAGCTTCAGCTAAAGACATACGTATGTTAATTATAACAGTAGGTATGTATTGAAGTAGAAAGTTATACTAAACTCAAACCTTAGCAGTTGTTTGATACGTCACGATTGTCCCCTTGTCAAACTGATTTGAAAGATTGACTTGTAATGATATAGTGTTGGCGGCAACAATATAACATATATATATGATTAATATTTAATATTAAAAATATCCAATTTGTATTTATTTGATATTTTGCCTTGTTTCTTTTAATATATAAAATATACTTCAAAATTAATGCTTTTAGAGCTATATTAAGTTTGTTAAGAACATAATGTTTAAGATAAATAAGTTATTATTTTAACTGAATATACATATTAACGCCTGTTTTCTGTAATCTCGATTCCCTAAGCGACGACTTACTCGGTCTGTTGGGGCGTTCCATTTATTTCATTCGATATTTCAAATGATATCAGATTATAACCTCATTACATTCGGTTTTCGTAGGCGGGTACTTTGACGTAACTATTCATTTCTAGTTATCAATCTTCAAGGGATACGAAGAAATCTTGATATAGAATTTATTTAGCTCTAATTATGGTTATCATAGAAGTTAGTCTCAATTTATGTTATATATAATTTCGATGGATAACTGGGATTGATTTTAATTTTAACAGAAATAGGATCATTCTGCTTTCAATCAGGTTCAATTTTATCCCTAAAACATTATCTTAACAATTTAAGAGATATTTCAATGTAAAGAATAAATTTATGAAGTTAATAATTGAAACATGCATGTATACGGTGTTTATACTTTAAGATCTGTCTACCCTCTTTCGTGTGATATTTTATTTTATCTATTCTTTGTTATCTCTGTGCGCTTCTTTTGTAATTGTTTTATTGTATACGGTTTCTCCGTAAGTGAAATGTTTGTATTTCTTTTAAGGAATAAATAAAGTTCTTAAAACATAAGAATCAACAAATAGTTTAGTTTCGCAAGAATAGTTATAGTGATACAACAATTCGTTTTATAAGTAAACGTTTCGTATCTCGTACTCTGAGTACAGTGGGTCCTATCGATTTCATCTGAACGCCAGCCTGATCGTGTATTGAGTAACCTACTATGAATACGAGAGCGCTCAACAATAAAATGTGTACCAAGGCCGGATCCCGGATAGAAGACTGTTGGTGAGCGGTTGAACTGTGAACTATTGTGTCTGAATCTTATCTTACCATTGTTGTTAATACTCATAGGTATGTCAAAGCTGCCCGCCCATAAGATGAAACCAGACGTATATAGAAGTTCTTTTAATATCTTTTAGAAAAATTGATTATAACTAGAATACGTACCCAGCTTTACAATGAAAAACCATAAATAAACATAAATTTGAAACAATTAATATCTAAATCATATGAAAAATAAGCAAATTTAATGTATATCGTATGTTTGTACACTAATATGTAATAAAAAAAAATCTACTCTAGAATCATATATTAAGTTGACATAAACAGATCTAAGACTTTCATTATAATTCATTTAAATAAACTAACATTTTCGGTTTTCATTCAATTCACATTTTATACTGTCGATGAACCAGTTCTTAATCTAACTGTTTATTTTTTCTATACCAGGTGGTGTTAGTACGTGGTCATTTCGTCTCCTATCTTCCACTGTGCAGTCGTAATGAGCCAGTCTTCCTAGCTGCCTGTACTCCTCTCGCCATGCCAGAGACCAGGGAATGCGTGGTGCACGGCGCCACTAACGTTTTCACTACAGTACACGCGATGGACATGAAAATACTGCATATAGATACCAAGTATGTTACAACTAAACTATACTTATACTTTGACTATTCATGAACTACCTACATACTAGAACTGAATTACTTAATTACTTAAAAGCTATCATTAATACTTTCGCCTTTTGCTTGATTTACATTATCTGGCTTTAGTTTGAGGACTTTGGTCATTTTTCTGATTTCAATAAATAAGGGCATGAATTTATTTTAGCTGCAATCGCCTCCTCTAAACCGTATTTTTCTAACATTGTCCTTCCTTATACAAACAATTTAAAAATAACTATATCGGTATAAAGTTATAAAATATATTATTTTATTATACTTCAAGCCATACATCTTTAGGTCCATAATTTATGACTGCTAATAAAAATCCTAACCTCAACATTTGTTTCATTTTAATACATACGTAAATAAAAAAGTTAATCTTTGTACAGACACAACAAAGCTTAATCTAATAGCTTCAATTTAAATCGAATAAAAAGATCTCATTATAATTAAATAGCACATTAAAACAAACAAAAGCTCAAGGGCAGAAGTAAATCCTTTGCTTCCTTGTAAACACTAGTTCAAGGTAAAACAATAAACTGGTCTTATTCAAGATGAATGTCTGACAGAGCTACCGTCTGTCAAAGGCAGATGTATGACAACATCTCTATACAGCCGTTTCATATGCATGGAACAGCGCCTCAATGACATAAAATAATAAGACGACTCGGAATATGCAATGTATTATATACAATGGGTAATATATACAATGTATATATATACATTATACAGTGGTCAGATGAGTGTCAGTCGGCACGTCACTACATCTGTCATGGTGTGTTTTATATGGATCGTGAAATTCCCTATTGTTCTGTTCATACGTACGATCTAAATTTATAATTTTTTTTATTGTATTTTTTACAAACGTACCTAATAAACATATCCTATTTTACAATATAATATATTGAGATTATGATTTAAGTAAACCAAAGCAAGTATCAAATCCAATATTCTTAAAGAAATCTGTTAAATATTTCAACCATATTATCGAATTTGTTTTGAAAGCCGCGCTCATCACCTGCTAGCTTTGCATACAATGACAGTGTACAAGCTCCCTGAAGATATGCTGAATACACACTTATACAACAAGTTTTACTATTTATTCATACGGCATGTTTTGCTTTGTAAGTGTCAATCCTCTTTAAATACTCAAAGTAACGTATGAAACTAAATACAAGTATCAAACTACTCGCGACATAAAAACGAACTATATATTCAAATTTTATTAAACAGTCATTTTACTCGTGCATGTGTACTGAACCTAAAATTTAAACAAATCTTAAAATGTACCTTCCTATAGCCATACTATTTATAAGAGTAAACAACAAGTCATAGTATTTATTACAAACGTCATTGTTTTGTAAAACACACATATATTGTAGCATTATCTTAATACGAATAATTTCCGTTTCATGAATAATTCCTGTTTAATACAATTGTTTGTCTAATGTTAAGCATAGTGTATATTTATGAGTTTTATTATAAGCTTTCTACACATAGCTGTATTTACAGTAGCTTCAAATAACCTTAGATGTAAATGTTAACACTGTATGATATGATATTAGTAACGTATGCCCTTATGAGTTTCGTAATATATCAACGTCTGTCCTGGCCTTTATGAGGCGGTGGCTGATGAGCATGCATAGAAATTACATATGTTATTTAAACAAAATTACATATATTATGCATTAATGTAAGTATAATTATATATTTTTTATGTATGTATGTACATAAAAGAAAAGTATTTGTGGTTTTTCATGTCATAGGCAAAGATTATTAGTAAAAAATGTGTAGGTAATATTTGTTGCTTTGTTTTTCACTTTTAAGCCAAGATATCCATGTATGCTTAGAACAAGTTTGCATCGTAACTACATTGGAACAGTTTCCAGTCAATAAGCAGAGTTTATTCTATAATATAAGAAGGTTTATGAATAAAAATACGTAAACTCTTTGCATGTACTATGAAGATAAAAACTTCGACTAAGATATTAGTATTTTAGACTGCCACGCGCTACGATGACCACTTTACATTAGGTGGACTGTACGCTTATTTGTCACTTAATTGATATGAGAAAAAAATATAGTTTTTTTCCATATGTATTTTTGCTTTTATTTATTTATAATATCCTGAAATTGAAAATAGACGTTACATTTTTATAGATTTTGTGTTAAGTTGTTACGTTTTATTTATACTAACTACATGCCGTGATGATTGTTAAACAAAATAATCTAGGTATTAACCGAGTAACTTTATAATTAAATTAGAATCTACGATCATTGCGGAACAGGATATAAATATTTATAGGACAAAGGTATTGATATTCATTATTAAACCTCCTAATTGACCTCTTTATAACATTTTATCGACAATAAATCACGGTATTATTTATACCTAAGTTCTGTTTGAAATTGTCAAATGTAACTTAAGATATCGATCTATGATTATGCTTCTTCTTAAAACCACTTAAAATTTTCAAGAATTGTCGTCAATGTTAAATATTTTCTGTTGTTTATATATTGAGTACAAGTATTGATTTAAACTTGAATTTCGATTGTTCAAAAACAATCCAAAACAATCGAATAATACTTTGGTTACTATTTCTATATAATTTAAAAAATATTTATGCGATAATAGCCTTTATTTGAATGTATTAAGATTCACGCTGTGTTTTTGTGTATGTTTAAACAATCTGACATTATTTGCTTTCCTATAAAACAATGTCGACATCTTTTGGTTTAAGGTTACAACTGGGTAACGTAAATACCTCCATCAAGTTCTATGTCTTAAAGACAACATTTAGAAATATTATAAGAGATATAAAATTAAGCAAATTTACTCATCATTACATTTATTACTGCTTTTTATACATCGTTCTGTTAAAAACAAAATATTATTAAATAAAATACTTCATTATTAAACATAAATAAAAAAAATCTTCTAATAAGTTAGTCCGATTATCCGATTTATAATTAAGACTAGAATTTTTTTACATTTTAATAGTTCAACGATAAACAAACTCAGTTCAATATAATATCGAAACGAAATCTAATAGTTGATTAAAAAAAAATTATAAATATAATTAAAATGAACTTGACACACACACACACACACACACATACACACACACATACACACACACACATACACACACACATACACACACACACATACACACACACACACACACATACACACACACACACACACATAGAAAAATATGTCGGGGGTCATCAGTTATCAATCATAACCTTGTCAATAAGACTTTTGAACCTTTAATTTGAACACTTTAATTACTCTTTTATATTCAGAGATAATTTCCCATTCAATGGTTAAAGTTTATTTATATAATTTTTGATTAAAAGTATGTAAAGTCAACATGAGATCGTAACGGTACACTTTTATATTAGTATATGCCAAAGAAGTTTTTTAATTTGACCGATTTCGTCCAAATAAGGCATATATTTCTGTGATTCTTTTTCACGTTTTGATCCAAAAGAATTTTCTACTATATTTTATATAAACATATGATGAAAAGGTGGTGACGGAAAAAGAAATATTTTAAAGATCAAAAGTTCATCAAATATTCATTTCACATTCACAAAATCCTTTTTATTTTTCGCTTGTGTAGGAGATACATATTTTTATAAGTTGTTTTTAAACGTTTTATAACTTTAGCGTATATCTAAGAAAATTAATTTAAACAGTTTTAATTCTATTTGATTTTTTTCTTACAGTAGCGAGTGGCACCTCGGCTGGGACAAAAACTCACTCCACGGAGTCAGCTGGTACCACCTCCTACATCCAGACTGCTGTAAGGAAGCTCAGAACAAACATCGACTTAGTGCGTATATTGATATTTAGTATTTACTTATAATCATATTATTATCATATACATACCTACATCAGTTGCAATGCATTCCCAAAGACGGTTGATGTCAGGCAGGCGGCCGGTCGTAAAAACAATCAGCCAAAACTATTCACAACATGTAAGGCAGAGCCTGGCTAAAGCTGGGAAATTGCCAGGTAGAAGAAGACATAAACACATTTAAAATATCTAGGAAGGAACATATTCATCATTTTTAACGAACGATGAACAATAAAATTTCTATGTTTGTCCTTTTGTTCTCGCATATCGTCAGAACGTAAATAGATTTTTGGACAAGATAGTTGATGGACTCGTCTCTTTAATTGACAAAGTTTTTTTACAAAATATACAATAGTAAGACAATCCATTCAATACGAAAGAAGTCCACAGTATATCTAAGAGGATATAATAACTTAAAAATTTAAACTCTTACAATATATGGAGAAAGATATTTTAAAGAATGGTTATTTGTACGAATTTATTACATATAAAAGAAAGACGAAGCATTTCCTCTTAATTACAAATATTATGCTCAAAAGCTTAAACTAAAGTCATGCTTAAAATTACATTAGATTGACAAGATAATCACTATATAAAGTCGTTTAGTAAGTACTTATGCGTGACTAAGGTAAGAATTTCTTTTATAATACTACATATAAGAAAGAAATATTAAAACCAAAACATTTAGAATACTTTGATCTTTCCTCATCTACGAATGTATCAAAACTAAATGATCTACAAATTCACCATTGTTTCGTAATGCTAAAATAAAGTTCAATAAGGAACTTGCTTCAAGTACATTGGATCGTCAATAACTTTTACCGGTAACCTCGACCTATAACTTAGAAAAAGAACGGTGAAGGCAAGATGTCAATCGGTTTGGATACTTGAAAATATTGGATTTAGTTTGTCTATTGTCTGAAGGTTAACGGGTAATATATGTGGCTTTTAATAATAAACAATTTGAAAGTATTAAAGTTGAAAGGTATGGTATTTTTTCTAACTGTATTTTTTTTCATTTACATTAAAAGAAAAAAATATTATCTTCACGAAATCCTTAAGAATGTACAAGTTTTGAATTTTTTTATCTTTTTAGTCTTATTTAATCGTATTGGATTCAAAAAATAAAGAAAAATAGGACATAGATTGGACTTAAAGAATTTATTTCAAAATATGCCAAAAAAATCTTAGTAATTTTATTGAATTCGTTTATAACGACTTACATTTAATTTAAATAAGATATAACAAAACAAAAGAAACCAAACAAATTTGTAAAGTTACTCCAAAAAAGACGAATAGTCGCAAAAAATATTGTTATTTCTCCAACTTAACCAATCAAGATAACACAATAAAACATTTCAGCAGCTGTATACCTAAACATAAACCTTCCCACGTTATTTTATTACCATTTTAACATTTCTAAATGTGGACGGTAAAATGTTAAACGGCTTGTAATGTTACGCCCGTTGGCGGAATCTACACCGCATACACAATAATGGTTTATAAAATATTATTTTGATTATTAATAGATTAGTTCTGTGTTTTTTATACACCATAGACTTATGTACCAAAAAGGTTTGAACATCAATTGTTATAAAGACTTTATTTTAGTTACAACGAAACAACGAGCTACGATAATATATTCCGTGTCAAATGTAAAATAACCACAGAATTGTATTTATTTGTTATTTTGACAGTTGACTAAATTAAATTTACAAATGGCGTGCAATTTACACCTGTCACGAATAGTTATTATGACATCAGCGCATGCGCACCGGGAATAAGACACATGTCAATCTGGGCCCTAAGCGATTAACAAAACCTAATAGATTATTATTAATATTAGAATTTATTCAATATTTCTGATTAATATCATTCCTTTGCTGTTCAATAACATACGACTATTTCATAAAGTGATTAATTTATAGCTTCATTATGTGAGTAGATTAATATCGGAATGACAAATGAACCGAACTTTGAATTTGACCTTTTTTTAACCTAATCGTTAACCTATGCCTTAATGCAAACCTCCTTTGAAAACTATTCGTATTACACAACGTTACTAATAAAACCGAATGCTCATTAGAAAAAAATAAAAATGTCAAATTAATGTCAAATGTACCTGACACATGTCACCTCTGATAACCCATGTTCTTGTTTCTTATCCATCTAACCCTTCAAAACAGGAGAAAGTGTAAATGACGCATAAGTTCTCGTGACGGTCGTGTGTGAGCGTTTGTCTGTACGTGAGCGATTAAATCAAAACAAATTTTATGCAGTCTTAAAAAGTTGTCAATTCTGCACTCTATTCCGACAATGAAGAGGGAAATTCTAAATTCAAACTTTTAGAAACGTGACTTTAAATTTGGAACACTTTCAAACATGACAAAGGTGTGAAGACTTTCCGGGTTCAGTCCTTTATGCAACAGCTCTGTAACATATGTACATACTGAATAAATAATTATTAAAATAAACATATTATTACAAATTTCATAGAGTTTTTAGACGAAACCGAACGGTGTTTAGGCTATAAATATTCATTACGCGATTTATTTCTGATTTATTTGCCCCGCACCATTCATACGCGTAGGCAGATCTATGAAAACGAGTCGCAAATCAAGCCCACTTAGCACACATAGACATACTATCCCAAGCGGGGCACACTAGTTACAGTCCGCAATCATAGCAGTCTTCAATCTCCGCAACTAAAACCAACATTCGAGATTACACAAATAATCGTCTGACATTAACCCTTATTACTCCCTCGACTTTCTTTTAAACTATAAATAATTCACTAACCTAACACTATAGCAATAGAGTTCATATTTGAATGGTTTAATTCTGGAGGAGAAGCGAAATAAGGATGCTCGTAGACGAAATATCTGTTCCGGCATGCATCTATCGTATGTCAGTGAAGTCATCATATGAATAAATTGATAATCATGTAGACAAGGACCAACTTGTGTGCACTGACCTTAACTTGATCTGTATAGTTTTTTTCGTTCCATATTATTTCTTGATGATATATCATTGTTGTCTGAAGGTTAAAATAGAAGAATATGTTTATAGCATCATGTTGTTTAGGTATGTCATATATAAAAAAAAATTACCTACGATTTCTTCCACTACTTACAATTTAAAGGGAAAAACTGTATAATTTTTTCTATTGTGTACTTTAATTCATCTATCGTTTTGAAATAAACTAATCTTCAATAGTATAACTACACAATATCAATGTTAACTTTGACAATCTTCTTCTACCTGGCAATTTACTAACTTTAGCCAGGGTCTGCCTTACATGTTGTGAAAAGTTTTGGCTAATTGTTTTTACGACCGGCCGCCTGCCTGACATCAACCCTTTGTATGAATAATGTTAACTTAGACAATGATCTTTTAAAACCATGAATAAAATATTATTATACAATTAAAAATATTGTATAATTTTTCAAATACCTTAAGCATTATACTGATTGACTATACGTTTATTGAACATCCGAATACCATCGTTTTTAATCATTTTTTTTAAGGAATTCCTTATAGAAATATATATAAATATAATTTGTATATAAGCCATGCTTTGTACATATCATGTATCTCTAATCAGATAAAAGTAACCTACAAACATATTATAATAAGAATTATACAACATTGTAATTAAAACCATTGTTTTTTCATATAAACAGTAATTTAACAACTTTTCTTACCTTTCTATCGTAGAATAGAGGTAATAAATATTATTTTTTTGTATAATAATTGTTTGAATACATCAATTCCAATTAATAAAGTAATAGAAGGTCCGAGAACACGGATGTCCTGGAACTCTGGTACAATACATATTTAATGCCGACCTCAGATGTACAGTAACAGACATTAATAAATTACAAAATTGAACTCTATTTATATAGTAATAAAGTCCATGATTATTAAGGTTCTATTTCAATATGTAAATTTCATGCGACATTCCTCTAAAATGAAGTCGTCTTAAATCCTTTTAATCCATTAGTTTATTAAAGTTCATAGGAATTAAATTGTATAATAATAATCAAATAATATTCTTATGTACGTTACAATTTTCAACAGACAGAAAATTTACTTGTCTTCCTCTTACGATAATTTGATTGTTATTACTTATTAAAGCTTAGAACTTAAATTTTATTTTAGTTCACTTCGGAATGGAATAATTTTAATTGTGGATATTTACGAGTAACACCGCGGGATAGAGCTTGTATCAAATTAAAACCTTTAACACAACTTTATAAATAAAGCTATTTAGATCCTATCATTATTAAATCGTATATTTAAATTAACATTATTTGCATTAAACTTAAATGCCGTTCATAGTTTATTAATTAGTAAGATAAGCCATAAAAATTATTTGTAGGAGTTAAATAAATTAATTATTCTAAGCAAATCCTGTACAACACTTTAAGATAAAAAGCAGTCGTAGCTCTTAGACTACTTATAAGAACAAACACACATTATAAGGAAAATTCAAAACTAAGTTAAACTAAACAAAAGATGTATCTATAGTCCTTTATATATAACAAAGGATTACAACCTTTATTTCAAACGAGTTTTGTGTCACAATTGTATACCTACATAAAGGAATCACCAACCTTCCTTAGTCAGGCTACATACAAATATATACAGCATTTAAATTTTAATTTTAATAGCAAACAAATAAAGTTCAAATTCATTTAAGCTGTACCTTGTCTGATTATTTCACATCTTGTTAGGAAGTGTATGCCTTAACACGATAATCCGTTTAATAATAATGATCTCATAATAGCATTCAATTATAACAATTAACTTTACATAGTGTTAATATTTTTCATATTAACTCGTCTGCGGACGTAATTCTACTGTATTTGTTGATGTTGCAAAAAACATAATATGTTCTATCAATATATTAAATTAATTGGACAATTAGTGATTCATATCTTAAACGTTTTATTAAATTATAAAATACTAGCTTTGCTCCCGCGTCTTCGCCCGCGTGGAGTTCGGTTATTTCGCGTTTCCAAGAGAACCTTTCAAAAGTCTGGTATAAAAACTATCCTATGTTCTTTCTCAAGATTAACTCTATCTCTGTACCAAATTTCATTAAAATCAGTTCAGTGGTTTAGGCGTGAAAGCGTAACAGACAGACAGACAGAGTTACTTTCGCATTTATAATATTAGTAGGGACAGGGAAAAATGATTTTGTGTATAAGTGTCTGCAGAGTTTCGTATTTATAGTTTTTACGCGGAACTTATTTATGTATATGACGCTAAATAAAATTAGTTTTAATAGGTACTCCTTATTCATGTAGTATATAGATATTATTTTAATATTATTAATTTCAAAGCCGTACCTTTCGATATTTGTACTCAATGTATAATATAAATACAAATATATGTACTTATTGCTATGCATCCAGGACTCTGTCATTAAAAACAATTGTTTTGTCTTAATGACTCAAAAAATACTGAAACGATCTCATGCACTGAGTGTGACAACTTAAAACTACAAATAAAATATATACTGCATTTGTTCTAATTTCATTCATTATTAAAATCATTTCTACATTGGAAGAAGCTCTTACAATAATATCTCAGGTTCAAACACATGTTTTACTTTTACTATTAGATCACGCATGATGTACGTGTATAAAGAAGCTACCTTTATGTAGCTTTCACTGATAATTCTTTTTGTTAACAGTAACCCAGTCGGAGCAAGAGCGATCCTGTATCGCTTTATTGCGGCTTCAGCGGCGTTGTGGTCAATTCCTATGGGTTCATGCCGTTCTTCAGCTAAAAGACAATCTGGAGAATTCTCAAAGACCCGTCATCGTGTGTACTAATCAGGTTTTAAGGTAAGATCTAGGAAAATTCAAACAGGTATAGTATTAGTGTCTATTATTAAAAAATATGATATGATTCTCATAAAATTTAAATTAAGGATATTTCATTATTACATTATTTAAATATGAACATTATTGGAAGACATTTGTGATAATTCAAACAAAAATTTCATCTTATTTATATCATAGCGATAGAGAGAAATGTAGAAAGTATTTTCGTCCATATGAAATATCCATTATCAAATAATCATAATATACAACAACATTAGCTTATAAAAAAGAACTCTGATAACACACCAAATGATATGCAATCAATTTATAATATTCACGAACTATATAATTAGTCCATAATTATAAATCATTACTTGCACAAAATACATTTTCGTAACAGCAAATCAAATATCATTACCATAATTTGTAAGCAACATTTGCACGCCACACATTTGCATAGATATGACAGATAAACTGACACTAATGTAACAGCTACAGTCTTAGTTATCTTTGACAGAAATTTAACTATAGTCCACAGCTTTTATGTACAACGGACTATAGTTATTAGCTTTCATACAAATTGGACTATCTCGGCAATTTGGCTGGTAACATCTCAATGAATTATTGGACGTACCTATATCATGAAATCGCCGGTGCCGTCGAAGGTAATCGGTCGTTCTTGCATTACTTATACGCCATTAATAAAACTCGGCAATCTAGCTATCAAGGGTGAAATCACTTCATCTTCGAACGCAATTATTACCTGAACAAACGTTAAACCGTGAGTTATACACCGCGTTGATGAAGCCTCTTATAAAGTTTACCCTTTAAAATTTGATGTTTAAATTTTGATAAAACACTCTTAAAGCAAACTTTAACAATCTTTCAATAAATCTGAAGGTATATTTTTATACACACAAACAAATATACATAAATACTAACATAATTTAAACGTTAATTGAAAACAATAGAATGATATAAAATTAATTAAAATAATCTTTAAACATTATTTAACAGTGTTTTAATATAATATATTTAAAGAAACGACTAACAGCTATTAAAATAATAGATAGAAATTCAATAAGCAATTTAATTCATAGTCGTTATTTACAATATAAAAGCATAAATTACTTTAATACGCATTGAATCAGATACTTCCCTGTTCGTATCGCACAAATAAAAAAGCTGAGCAAACACATTACTCATAAAAGCTGGAAAGATTTGTAGATCTGTTTACAAGACTTAAGGCTAATGTTTTTAAAAGGCGTTTCTTTGCTAACTAATTGGCTTAAAGCCGCCATTACGGCTTATAATTCCAAGGGCTATGAAAAATAGATGGTCATAATTTAAAACGGTCACTTACCAACTTCCCTATTGAGAGATCATTGTGAGATGACGCGCAACGACTAGCGAACGCCCGTACTATTTGCTTTGTATTTAAATATTTCGAATACAATATCAATATAAATAAGATATTTACAATATAAAAATAAAAATATTATATAGCATTTAAATCTTCACGATAATACAAACAGTTTGAAACATGTGTAAATAAATATATTCACAAAAAAAAACAATACGATACAACGCTTATGTAGTTCTTACGTATAATTTATTTTAATGTTTGTGTTAAAGTTGTACCGGTGTATATTTAACACCGGTTAACTCATAGTAGAGGTTGTAACGAATAAATAGTGTAGAGGGTGATTTATGAAGTCGGAGTGGATCGATGTTAGTATCGGGATGGTTGAAATATGCTCACAGGCCATTGTGATGTGAGAAACTGTGTTTAACAAGCATCGAGCGCGGCCCTTGATCGATGGTGTGGAATTTACTTCCAATATTTTGTTGGAAATATATTAAAACACCTGATTTTATGGTGTGATCTATCCTGTTTGTAATATTAAACAATAACCATTTACGACGGTCGTGTTCTTGGATTTATTAACATCTTTACTTTGTATAATAATGATAGTTTATAAAAGAATTGTTATACTTATTTATGGCAAAAATTCTGTTTGTACCGGCTTGTCAAATAAACGAAGAAAAACTAAGCAGAAACGTTGGTTATTGCTTGAAATTTAAGATATAATGAATCCCACGTCTTCTTATCAAATTACTTAGGAAATATATTAATAACAATTACATCTGTACATTAAAATTTATAACTTTACAGCTAGCGGCATTCATAAGTATCAATTTTGCAGATAAGTCTAAATAATATCATTAAACCGGTGACTAACATTTTAAATTAATCGTTAGTAGGCCGGTGATAGTAAATCTAAATTAATATCAACACGAGTGGGTGATGGAGTGACCTAAACAATAAGGCACAAAGGGCTTACGATTTCGAAGTCTCATATCATTCAATAGATATTTAAACATAAGTACCAACCACATAAATCTTATAACAAAAAAAAAGACGCGCTATTGAATGCTTGAGACGCTATCACTTATAGTCAATTAAGTTCAAATAGTTTTTACTTGAAATAATTACATAAATACATATTTTAAATATGTTTTTTTAATGTAACACGATATGCCTTAATAATTCTTCTGTCGTCTTAATCCCATAGCTCTGTTATATACTGCTCGATATAATAAATCCAGTGCTCACAAACTCGGCTGCATTGTTAGCCGGATTGCGTCATTTGTCATTCGCATGCTTGCGCAACTTGTGTCGCTTCACTTTCATAAACCTTTTAATAATACGAACCGTGGATCAAGCGACCCTTTATTTAACTGACGTTTTGATGTATAAACTTGTTGAGATGTACATTTGTTTGTTTATTGTCTCTTGTATACTCGATAGATTTATAGCTGTTAACCTATATCGTAATGTCTTAATAAATCCATAGAAAAAGGTAAATGTACATATGTAGTGCGGTGCAAATTGTCAACATGTAAGCCGCCTACGTCATGTCTAAGAGATTTATGCGCTCGAGGCATACGTACTAACAAATTGGCGAATGTAAATTCCATTTAGTTGGTTATACATAACAAAGCGATATAAAAATTCTAAATATATATACGTATTTCCGTTCGAGACAAATTGTATTTTTTTACATTTTCAATACTTTTATATACACTTCACCTTAATTTTCATGATATTGAAACTATAAAAATTTTATTGTTAATCATGCAAAATTACAGTCCTAATCTCAGAGTACTTACTTACAAGTAAGAAAGGAATAAATAAAACCTTAAATTAAAACTATTGTTTTATCATGAGTCATTCGTTGTTCTCGTAATATTTTAGTAAATTAAATTGATAATGTGTTGTATGAAATGATAAATTTACTTATTTATTATAATAAAATAACCTTTTATATATTCTCTCACAGGATAAACTTTACATTTATATAAGTAATATAACATAAACTTGTGTTTAAACACATTTAATTCCGATTCAAGTTCATTATGCAGAACGTGTGTACCTTCTTATCCGTTTAGCCTTTGATTCGCGGTTATCTACGAATGCTAACCGATTTGTCGTCCAAAACATATTTAAACGTTGATTTTAGTACAGTCACGTACATAAAGCTTATATTTTGATATATTAATATCTGCTAAACCTAATAATATTTAGGATTAATATTCATAATATAAAAGGGAATTAGGTGTCAGAATAAATATATTATTAAAAAAAACAGACTATATTTTCTTTTAAAGTATATAGTGTACCTTCAATAAATCACCTTGTATTAATTTATCATTTCTCTTGACGACTGTACTTGGGTCCAGGACTTCGTCCGACTATGTGACATTTCCCTGTATCCACTATCTAAAAGGTTGCTTCAAAGCTTAGGTTTATTTTAAAGGTTATTTTGGAACATTACAAATTTAATACCTCTTTAATGATATCATTGTTTTCTAAAATAAGAAAAGTCGAAAGGTTATATTCAATACATTATTTTAAAATGTCAACCATGACTAAAAATAAAAATATATACATATATTCATCTCATAATTGTAGTCCAAAAAACGTAAATTTTGTAAAGCATTTTTTTTGTAAATAATGCTCCGAAATTATACAATGTTTTCCAATCTCGTTACTTTTCACGATACTACCTTACAAAGCTAAAGATTAACCAAGTCTTATCTAGATAAATAATTGTACTGATAGTTCCATTTCATTAAATAAAACGCATCACTTGTAAAATAATTTTCACACACAAGACACAACTACTTAATATAAACATTAAACTTTAGTGGCCCCCATTCTAGGTGCCGACTAATGGGCAAAGCATGTTACAGAGTCATATGGACTCTGATCTGTGATTCTTTAGTTCAATAAGATTCCAATTACATTAGATCCTTTAATCATGTATCGATTATAGTAATTTACACTCAAGCTTGAATACCTACTTATGCTGGCTACAAAATGTTTAATCTAAATAATATAAAATGTATCACTTATGGATTATATGTATATAGTTCGGGAATATTAATGAAAGTACCTAATCTTTTTTTTACTTTAAATTGTTTTGTCAACAGTGAACAAGAAGCAGCGGTTATGAAAGCAAATCCTTGGCTTTATCACTATTATGCGGTTCAATCTAAACTTCATTATGGCTTAGCTTATGAAGCAGCCACCAGGATGTATGGACCTCCCCCACCAGATATCCAGGTCTACCCTCCGACCATGCAATATACACCGACGCCCGCAGTTTGTCTAAACGGAAACCAAGCTATGATGATGCCAAATGCTGGTCTTCAGAATCATATCCCTCAAGTTCCTCCACACTTAACACCCATTCATTACGCTTACGAAAGACTTGATAATGGGCCAGTAGACTATTCAGTTTCGCTTCAAGACAACAGGTAAGAAACCTCTTAATATTATTGTTATATTTTTTATTTCAAAACGTAATTCCAAAAAGAGAGTTTTGTGTTGTAGTTATACCACAAGTTTAACATTAGACCTCCATTTCAGGGGATATCATAATATACGGATTGAAGATATCAGGTCTCCTGAAACGAAAAGAAAAGTGAAACAGGAGGAAGATAAAACCAGTATACCTAATATATCGCCTAGATTTTCATCTGCCGCTGGTGACACTTTAGTCGCGATAGCAGCAACAACGGTGGCGACACGTAGGCCAGGCTCTAAAAATTTTAATATCACTGAAACGGAGATGATAGATCAATGGAATCCTAGTCCGACTTGGTCGGAATCAGCTCTGCAAAAAGTTCCAGATGTTTGTCACCAGGAGTTGAGTCCATATGCAAACACAACTCCTCCGACGCCTTCGGGAACACCATCAGCTTACACACACAACTACAGCAATGCATTTGTCTTCGACTGGTCGCCAGAGCAATACGTTCCTTATACTAACAATAGATGTAGCACCGTAACAACAGAAAGTTCCTATCAACAAAATTGGAATAGAAATCATAGAACGACATTTGTTAGTGCAAATGATAGTTCCGCCGACGAAAGTTGTACTTCTAACAGGTTAAACCTTCCGGCGAGGGTTAGTCGGACGCCGCCGGACCATAACTCAAGAGAAGACGAAGGCCTTAAGAGGCAAATGGGTAAATATTATTTATTAATTTTCCCTTTCTTCTTAACATAAATAGAAAAGTGAGGTTTTTGTTGCTTTAATCGTGTGATCTTAACTACTGTTTTTATTATTATAAAGTGACAGGTTAACTTTCACTAAGCAAACAACAATCAAAATCAATTTATTATGTTAACCTTAAGCTTAAATATTTCATGAAAAATTTAACTTATCTTTTTAATGACTTAAATTCTTGTTGCAAACGGGAATTTTGTTATATATCAAGTTTTCCTTGTTTCAGATCATCTTAATCCTGACTCTCCGTGTGCTAAAAAACCAGCATTATAGCTATAATTTAGTAAATAATAACTATAAGATTGTTTGTGTAACATTATTACTGTTACCTTATACTCATAATATACGTAAAATCTTTGATAGATGTTTCTGGAACTCTCCTGTGATCTACGTGTTTATAAGAATCGTGTAAAATAATTGTTTAGTCTTTGTACAAACCTATGTCACATAAAATGTGGACTTATTTTTAATAGATATAATTTAATGTATATAATTATATGATGATATTCTTCGTCAATATGTATATATAATAAGTTAGATACAAAAACGACCATTGTAAAATGTATCTTCATACAGACACTTCTTGTGCAATTGTTAAACCTTTGTTCTTTCTATTTGTAAGTAGTGTACTTGATTATAAAGTTAATTAGAAGTTTTATTTCTACAAAGTAGGCATGATTTTTATCATTGTACATTTATTATTATATATTAACGAAACTAAATCCGTCCTTCCTAAGAACTGGGTTATTGTTATGTACTTATTAAATGTATAAGTTTATTTAATTTCGTAAATATGTTCATAGATTTAGATTCTTTGATTGGGAAAATTTAAAATTTACTTTGTTAATTGGATAGAAAAAAAGAAATATTAAAATAAAATATAAAACAAATAAAAGAGTTTTCTTTGTATATAATCCATTTATTGTACCTAAATACAGGTTATCAAAATCAATACAGGTTTTAAAATATATATTTTTATACCTAATTAAAAAACTCCTACTCAGGCCTAAGTCGCATATTTCGTAGGAGACACAGATCCCTAGCCGTATCCTTTCTACCATATGGAGTTGATAAATCATACAGTCTCAATATTAATCCTGTATTAAAGTTATCTGGCAGAGCTTTAATAAGTGTTGGGACGATCTCTGAAGGCATTTTTTGCAACACAACTTGGGCTCTATCTTGACCACACTGTACTGCATAACTGATAAACTCAAATATAAATTGCGTTTGTGGAGTGACGTCACCATTTTTACCAGCCAGCTGTGAAAATGACTTGAATAGCATCTCTAATGCCGACTGTAATGGCTCCTTAATTATAATACCCATACTTTGGCCTTGAGAATAATACAACGCATCCGAGGTATTGTCATTCAATCTGCGTACTTTGTTTGAGGAACAGATTGCATCCAAGTCTTCTGTATCATCGTGTCTTCTCTTCCTGGAGGTTGTAACCTTTCTCGAGATACTATGCTCTAAAGCAGCATAAATACAATACACGCAGAGTTTAGCCAATATAGCCGATTGAGGTTCAACAAGTTCATTACACAACTTCGCATTATATAGATATTGAGGTAAAACGTAAAGTAAAAGAGCCTGTGAACATTTCTCTATATCCAAATGAAAGATCGCCACAACTATATCCACAGACCTGTCTAAATCGTCTTGATATCTGAATTTAAGGGTCTGCTTAAGTAAATTTGTCACAAGCCAAACTGGTCCCGCAGTGTTTAATAGACTTTCTATTATATGAGTGGCGTCAATATGTAAATACCCTCGAGTTTTTATGTCATCCCATACGCTCTGCAATTGCTCTAAGATAGGTTGTTTAGAAACAATATAATGTGATAAGTTTAACGTTTTTGCCTTAGGCACTGACGGCGGATGAATGTCGTACTGTAATTTTCTTATTATTTGACACATAAGAATGGCTCTCTCTTTGAAATTATCAATTTGAGTCAATTCTACTTCACTTGGAGCAGACAGAAATTGTTGTATTATATTAATTGGCTTCAAAATAGCGTCCTGGTGAACTACATTAACATATGCACATAACCAACTTGAGGCACACACAGCTAATGATGCCATTTTTTGTCTAAGAGAATCCAACATTCTCTTCAAATCGGCAGCCGAAATTGAACCTTGCTCCCAAGCAAATAGAATTTCTTTTATGACACCACACACATTTATACACAGGTCATGTGGTTTCAAATTTGTATTCTTAAAATCGAAGTCTGGAGCACTCAAGTGATGTATGAAAATATCTATAACCTGCGAATCACATTTCTGTAATATTTGCTCTGGAGATTTATGTACCCCTTTTTGTGGCATACACTCTCTGACCCATTGTTCAAAAAAGGAATCACCATTTTCATCTAATACAGCCTCAGCACCATAATCTTGTACTATAGAACACAGTATTAGGAAAGAAATATCAAATATATACACTTTAGACTGTGGCGCATTTTTCTCACTAGCTGATATTAATGCAAATTCATTGAACTTAATTAGTCTAGACACAAATAACTTCAACTTTCCTTCTACTGTCGCTACAGCCAAAATTGTATCTAAAGTTGTGCCACCTACAATTTGACACAGCATCGCATGTAAAGAATCTTGTGTTTTATGAAAATCACCGCCCATAGTTTTCAGAATTCCAGCTAAAGTCGGTTCTGCTCTTGTTACAAAATATGCTGGTACAGATCCTTGAAGTCCTGTAGGTTCTAACTTCTGAAGCATTGAATCTTTAGTTTCTCTTTTCTGATTGAAATAAGCCAATTGACTCTCGGCTACAACATTTAGCTTCACTAATGGATCTAACAACGACATTACACAATTACATGAATTCTTTGCATCAACAACATCTAGAAGGGGTGTTGATTGTAGAAGTTTCTCAAATGCTTCTACAACTTCGGTAGAATACTCTCCATCTTTGTTAGTCGTACCACAAATATTATGTAAATAGTGTATGACTTGCGGCAGTTTAAGAAAAGTAAAAGCGGCCCATATTGCTTGCTTGGAAGCATCTTTGCTAGCATCATTAAGGGCAATAAAACATGCTCTAATTAATTCACAGTAGAGTGTTGACAAGGAATAGCTTTTCAGTCTTTGTACCATTAACAGCTGACTTGAGAGTTGCTGCATGTCGGCACTAGGATTTGCTAATACATTAACAGCTATTAATGCTTCTAAACAGTGGGTAACTGTTTCCGTTTTATTATTCAGTGGTGCTATCTTGTCAATGTCCATATTACAAATCTTCTGTAATGTTTCATGTATAGTAACGGGTGCCTTAAACTGAGTATTCATCATCATAAATGTTGTGATTTCTTGACACTTTTTTGTAACTTCATTATACTCATCTGGATCATTTTGTTTAGCTAAATAGAACATGGCTAACAGAAAGTCCGAGTGCACAATAGCATTGAGAAGTGAAGTAGATTTTTCTAGTAGTTCTTGACTTTGAATAGGATTTGAAGAAGGATATTTACTTAATGAATAGTGATACACTTGCAATAACCACAAGATTATAGAAGAAACTGCGAAGGCGAGTACCTCTTCTTCCATTTTACTACGACATGTTATACTATCAAGAAAGCTCTCGAGAAACTCCAATAGGCTTGCAATACAATGTGGCTTATGAAATGCATCAAATTTAGCTATTCTTTGCAATACAGCAGCGTATGACACTAGATGGGAAGCCAGGGAGTGTTTTAAATAGGATATAACAAGTTGGTTAGCTCCACAACCAACCATAGCTTGTTGAAGAATACAATCTGCTAGGTTATACAAATCTCCGCTGACACCTCTTGGTAGTATTGTTTTAATATTTATTCCCCATTGAATATCAGTCCATCGCTCACGCCAAGCTTTTAATATTAAAGCTTTTAAAGAACTCGTTTTGCTGGTTATGTTTGATGCATCCATTTTTACCATTTTGACAGAATACGTTTCAAACATTACTCTTTTTACAGTATTACAATCATTATTACTCGATTCAGGTATATGTTGACGGTTAAAAAACAACTTATTTATTTATTTAATGCACAAGAATCACATCTATACTTAACACTTCACAAAATTGACAGCATCAGCATTCAGAAATAAATTCCATTTTTCATATTTTGACATCTTTACGAATAATAAAGTTTAATAAGGCTATATTAATATAATGCCATAAATTACAACATATACTTAATTATAGTCGTACTTGAAATAATCGATAGCTTTGTATTATATTCTCCTATAGGACAATATAAATTGTTCAATGTTTTGATTTTTCATCAGTGAGCATTTTCGGTGAAACGGAACATTGAGAGTCAATATAAATTCTCACTGTCAAAACCACATGTAAACATTGTTTACTAAATTCAGAGCTTAGATAAAAGAAATAAAGATATCAGAATGAGTTTTAGACATTATAAGGAAAAGATAGAAGAGGGTGACACTGTTATTCTCTATTTAAGTAACCATTTACACGCAATAGAAGTTAAACCCGAGATTAAAAACAAAAAAGGTGAATTGATAGAGAATGTTTACCAAACAACATTTGGCGCCTTGAAGGTTAGAAATCTTATAGGCAGTGAATATGGAAGTAAAGTAAGTAAATACATATGTACATAATTTAATTCAATTAATAGACTCTTGAGTTTTTTATCCACCTTCACAATGCAATACTGTTTTGCTATAATTTTATGTTAGAGAAGTGGTTGTGTTATTCATTTTGGAATATAATAAGAGTTATCTGAAGAATAAATCGTATTCAATAATAAATTTACTTTATACCAACCAAAATTCTTATTTCTTTAAGTACATAACTCAAAAAACTGTATAAAATGTCCTTAATACCCATTTAACCTGCCAAAATATAACAAAATCATGCATGGACCTTTATTTATGAAACAAACATTATAATTTTTCTTATTAGGTTGAATTATCAAAAGGATGGGGGCATGTATTACAACCTACGCCAGAATTATGGTCTCTCACATTGCCGCATCGAACACAAATAATTTACACACCAGACATCAGCATGATACTGCTGCAACTTGACCTGGTCCCAGGTTGTGTTGTCATTGAAGCAGGTATAATATAATAATATATATGTATATGCAATTTTTAAATACATAATATTAAGATATGATCTGATTATATACTTATTAGCATTATTATTCTTAATACATAGTATTAGAAACGTTTGACATATCGCACCTCCGCTCAAATAGTGTCATAAGTCAATAATCCCAACTTTCGAATAAAACGCGTTTGAAGTTAATGCTAACTTTACTTTTTGGCTCATCACTAAAAAACTGTGAAAGTTACTGCAATATGATTTTAAGTAAGTTATAATGATTTTTGACACTCAACAAAATGGTGTAATAGACTTTTGGAATATATTTAAAAAAAAAACGAATAAAGGATGAAAAAAATAATTTACGAAATATTGACATCTATGGATAAATAGTTCAACTATGGGCATGACATTATTTGAGATAAGATTTCGAAGTTTTCTGATTCCAATAGTGCAATAAAATCGAATTCAACTTTTTTTGAGTTGTGACACTATTTGAGCGGAGGTGCGATATTGCATTGTATTTTCATTTGATTTTTTTTATAAATAATATAAAACTTTATGTAGTCATATCTAATTTTTTTCCGATTAACTCAAAATCTTTTTATCTTATATGAGTATAAAAGTTATTGAATGTGATAACTATGTATTATAATACTTATATTATCTTCTTTTAATCTAAGTTACAAAACCTAGAGTGGTATATATTAGAAGTTGTTGTTTTTTCGAGTGACTGTCTATCTGGCATATCTTGAACAGATTAACTGATTAGGATTTCTTTTAAAGTTTGATTTACTTTATACTTACCTTTTCCTAACAATAATTCTTAGCAATGTTAATTAATATTGTTCTAGCATTGTGAAAGTATCAGCTGTTTTTCAAAATTATGTTACCTTTGTAGTGTAGGTACATTGATCAAATGATTCATGCATTCCACTTCTACGGTTAAATGAAAATTAAAGTCTGAGGATATTTTTAAGTAATTTTATTTTTATATATTATTTGATTTTAATAATTATATTAATTGCCAATAAATATTTTTCGGTTTGTTGTTAGACCTAATATGGTACTAGCTAAGATAACAATTAAGCACTTAAAATTAACATAACATATGAACTAGATTTGCCTGTGACTTCTACGGTGAAAAAAGTAAATTTTAAATTAATTATATTAATAGAAATAAATTAAATTTCTGAAATGGAAGTTTCTGACTATGACATACAGACGAAACTTGTAATATATATATTTTTTTGTATACATACATGTGTTTAGACAAAAGCATTTATTACAATTTTACGTATTGTCATTCCCAAATATTTTTTTCTTATATAAACAGATATATATAAAAGGAACACCACCACAATACGAAAAGATTCAATCATTTTGTTTTATATATAATTGATACATAAATATATGTATTATACAAATATATATCATACAATACTGTCACAGTCCATTTGTTTCTATGAATTTAATAAATCAATAACTGTTACCCATGCTGAGATACATTAGCGATTAAAACCGCAAATTGTTTCCGCATACTTTTTTTTTTTATCTTTCAAGGTACAACACTTCCTTATACACAGGAAATTTCGGTATTTTAATATCTATAACTTTATGAAACTAAGTAATAGTGTTGTTCGTTTTTTCTAGATTTTTCTAAATATTATAATACCAGATTGAACAACACTTAATGTTATACTCATTGATTTTCATTTATCGTATCACGTATGTGAAAAGAATAAAAGTGTACTTTAATTTTTCTCGTAATAACACCAGTCGATAAAAGCCCTATACTTAATTTAATCAATTAAGACATGACGAATTTTAGTATATATATTTAAAAGTATAACTTTTTGGTCTCATCTTCTTCTCTTAAGTGTTAAATCCCCAAAATCTAGAATTAAAAAATTTGATAATAAAATAATTCAAATAGTACTGCTAGATAACTCCTTGACGTAAGGTGAAAAGCAAAATTATAGGGGAAAATGTTCTTAAGATAATATATTAGACTTCCAAATCTATAGGTACAGGTAGTGGGTCATTGACCCACGCGCTGATAAGAAGAATTCGTCCCCATGGACACGTATATACTTTCGACTTCCACGATCACAGAGCGATGCTGGCCCAAGAAGAATTTGAGGCCCATGGTATCGCAGATTTCGTTACTGTAAGTAAACCTTATTATTATAGGAACAAATTCCATTTTCCAACTTTTTCCAACAATTCATAGTTCAATAAAAACTCTTTAATTAATGTGATAATGCCAACTTAGACTAAGCGTACTGATAAAGCTTAATCTATACAGTGGATGTTATGATTTGATCTCAGCATAGAAAAGTTATTTTAGATTCTGCGCAAATTACAATGAATATTCGGTAAACTGCCTTGGTTCTATAATGTAGAACGGACCTTATTTAATGTTTTTTAGACTATTGTGTGAGGGTTGTCACAATTTAAAGTGATTATATTCAGAATCAAATAGGTTAAAAAATTTAATAAATTAATATTTAAAAAGTATTCAGTTCCCACATTCATTGTTTAAGATCTGAATTATAAGTGGACTTCATTATTATTAGGATAATGTTTAAATTGCCAATCCCAAGTTTCGATTTGTGTTCAATGCAGATTAAGTAAGGATTGGTCTAGTCTAGAATGTTCAAATAAAAACTTATTTCCAACCTTGATAGAATTTACAGACTTATTATTGCGATACGCAGAGTTATAACTCTATCAGAAGGCACGTGGGTGCGTTTTCAATTTCAGTTTAAGTATCAAGTATCAACTATCCTCTCTATTTTTATCGAGTTCTATATCCTTGACAATATGTGCTTATATGAAGTTTTATAATAACGCGCAAAAACTTAACAAATTGATAACAATCGTACATAAATTTAGAAAAAAATATATACCAGGTTTTGTTCTTACGTATCCGAATGTAATTCAATAAGGGCCATCATAATACCTTTTAGATTTCTCATTTATTTTGTTATTTCCATTTGAACGTTAGGCAAAGCACAGGGACGTTTTGGCTGAAGGTTTTGGTGAAGATCTCAATGGAAAGGCTGATGCTGTTTTCTTAGACCTACCAAGCCCTTGGACAGGTGTGAAGCATGCTGTGGCTGCTATGAAAAAGGAAGGTAAGAACATCAAACCTATATACCAAAATAATACAATTAAAAAATATGTATCTTTATGACTCTTGAACTAAAATTAAGTTCTAGTTTATCGATCAATAAGTTTTTTTTTTCTAATATTTGATATCAACAGTGACAACTTTTTTGCCATTCAGCCAATCTATTATCATTTAATATAAAAGGAGGTTGGTAACACAATATTTACGAGATTATCCTATGTATACGTCGCAACCAACGTTAAACGTTTGTACATCCATTAATTTACTATGCATGGTACAAGTAACATTTGTAAAGACTAAACATCTAGATAAAGATAAACTATCGCAGCAGGAAACCACTGATCCTTATAAATCGACAGAATCGATTGCGATCTGATTACCCAGTGTCGATTATACCGATGTAAGTTATTCGATTCTATTCAATAAACAAACTCCCGAACTAGATAACGATTTTAAAATCGATTCATCGGGTCGGACTCGTTAACTCATGTGGGTTCAGGGTTACTGCTAATTAGACATACAGATATATTTATCTAGATTGTTGAGAAATATACACGACAATTCATATCTACATATCTGCTGAAACAAATATTCATTCCTTAGTTAATATCTAATTAAATCTTCTTTATTTAATTACAAAAAATAATTTTATAATAGTGACAGCCCTGCCTTACCCTTTGCCTAATTGGTAGATTCTTATAAAATCTAGATATGCATCTCTTACGTTCACAAACTAATGACACATTTTGCTATTTATCCTTGAAGGCTTTTAGTCGATTCATTGTTAGGCGACAGATACTTTTTACAGCGACGCAATAAACTTCTACAAATACTTGTGTATTTTTTACTAAAATAATATATCTGTATTAGAGGAAGATGCAGATATTCGCGGTTTCAACTGAATATATAGACCAATTAACATCTACTGATTAAAAACGTAATTTTCATTGAAGGCACATGTAACAAGCGAGACTGTTTGTTATATAGAAATAAAATAAAACAATATAAAATCAAAGAGCCACCGGCGCCGACATACATTTAAACCATCCTGCCATTCTTAAATTGGCCTATTTATTTCCCTTTTCAACACAACTTTATGGCCAAAGGCCATTCAACATCTCTAAACTATTTCCATTATGGTCGAATTAATAGCCATTTCTTTCAATTTACGCGAAACCTCTATGGGATGGGATTATAATTAATATTGAATGAAATTCTTATACGCTTAAAATACTGCCGCATAACAAGTTCCTAGTGTTTTCGAATACTCTAATAGAATATTTTGGAAAAATATTTGTAGCGACATTTGAAGAATTTACGACAGTTTCAAATAGATATTCGGACTAAACTAATAAATTAGCCAAGAACGTGATAGCTTTATTCGTAAAATGTCTGGGATTTCATATGTCGGAAGTAAAACTTCGAAACTATGATAAAAATATGGATTACCATACAAACATCAAATTATTTATATTGACTGGTTTCCCACACAACCTCTCTCTCGCATAATATTTTTTATATCTTCTTATCTATTTGTATTTTCAATCCGAATTTTCAATTTAAAAACTAAATGGAGTGTAATAATATATGATATATTCTCTTTTAAAGAAATTTAAAGCAAAAAAGTATTATTTTGTAATGAAATAAAATTAACATTTTCAATACTATTTTTGTATCCGGGTATGATGTAAATGACCACAAGCACTTTAAAAAAACACATATTTTAAGATCACAAAAAGAAGGTTCTAAATAATTAATATGTGGAAATGTATTAAGAACCAAAAATTTTAAAACTTTTAAGTCTATTTTACTTCTTACATTTATGCAATACTATAACAGTTTATGTACAGAGCGCGACTAAGGTTAATATATTGAGATGAAGCAAAATACATTGGCTCAATTACGGATGCGCTTGCGCACCGCACATTCCTATACAAGCGACTTTGCCTCGGTTATACATAACAATATTATAAAGTCAGATTTGTTTGCAATAAATCTACGGGATCTTTATAATAACAGGGCAATAAATAACTCATCGGGTGTATAATTACTATATGTTAATTAAACCGTGAAGTTATTTATTAGATCTATAGAAAACTTATGTTGTATTGAGATAAATAACTTATTTAGTCCAGTTTCGATGTAACCTTCGCATATTTTTTAATGTTTCTATATTAAAACATTATGAAGTCGTCGTTTCAATGTACAAATCTGTTATTACGTTATCATCAATCATTATTACCACATAGTGTAGTTCCAGCCATATATATCTTTATACAATACTCGTTAAATTTCTAATAGCGGGCGTATCTAACACTTTCGTTTCAAATGATTTCTATAGGTTTATTTATCGCCCGTCGCGCTTGTCCAAATATGTCTTATTAATAAATGGTCAGAGATGCTCTCAGTGACAACAATGGCTAACAAATGTGCACTGTTCTTTGTCGTCTTAAACACTGGACACTAAACACATTTTAAACACACATTATACATCTCATTGTAATGGTGTCTGACATTTATTATGTAATAAATACATATATAGACGAAAAAATATTACTTGAAAGTATAAACTGCATGGGAAAGCTAAGTAAATATTTTTAATAGCATTAAAATATTTTAATGGGGGTAGTATGCAGGCATGAATTTTTCGTTTAGACTCAGAGGTATTACAGCACTTACTAAGTGTCCGGTCGTAATCTCAGCGTTTAGTACATTTACAAATGCCTGTTCCAAGAGCATGACATATCAATGTAACTGAACACTCTCCCATGGTGGTCTTGAGAGAACAAACTAACCTCTAATAAGACGGCCCTTTAGCGCAGCTGTCTCGACTAGAACGTTATCTTAGCGTGAAGAATAGCACCTTTTGTGTAGAAGGAATCGAGGTTCGCGAATTTCGTACGATGCTTTTCGGTACGTTAATTTACCGAGACTTATTGGGCAATTCGTGTTGTTATTCGGTATATAAGATTTATTTACGTGGAGTTAAGATTAATCAAATGTACATTCAACTTATACTTGTATATGTGTTGGATATACGATAATATCTAATCTTACAAATCTAGGTTAGACTTAGTCACAACTGTAAACAACTAAAATCGTTTGGTCAATCATGTTTTCGTGTTTGATTAAATTATTGTATTGCAATCATAACACGGTCAAGGTTATATAACTTTGATCTAATCTATAAGACTTTTATTTCATTTTATATGGACATACGAATTTCCTTCAAATAGTCAGTCAGTCAGTAAATCTCTCTCGTGAGTCCGATCGCAGCCGAAGTGTCAACGACTGTTGATAACATTATCTGAAATACTCACTGAATGCCGTGTCTTCGCATGCTGTACATTTGTTATCCATTTACTATGGAAGGATTTCATGGAAATGTAATTGGAATTGCAATCTTATCTCATGTATATACTCAGAATTTGTTAATAAACAAAAGTATTTTCTTCATGAGTTATAAAATTATTTTCAAATAGAAGTTTTTGGTGTATATTTTAATTAATTACAACCAATGTATAACATTTTTAATCTTAAAGCGTTTGCGTAATATCGCTCAAAAGCCAAAGGTCCGATCGGTACACGAAATACTAAATTATTTAACACAACATTCCTGAACGCGTTTAATTATCAAAACCAACAATTAGAGATATAGATCATGGAATTGTCCCAAAACATTTCACGCATACTTCTCGCACCCCTGCAGGGTACACCAATAGCATGGTCGTACGATAACAATCTTATATCCTTGTTACTTTCCAAATACATGTCATAAGTGTAATAACCACATGACATAGCCTGTCCCCTCGGGCGCTACTCGCCCAGACATTAGGCAAACTTATACTTACAGTTGCTATAATAAAATTAGACTTTATTTAAACAGAAATAAGACTTAATTCAACCTTATCAAACTTTCTCCTACAGTATAGTATCTTGGTAAATGATCACAAATACAACCTTACATTACGAACCCGTCATATTTTTTTCTCAAATAATATGAACTCTATTATCATTAGAAATAAGATCAATATAAAATTTCAATAGGTAAGTTGTTTAAAGTATTCGCGCCACTAAATCAAATAGCGGTCAATTAAGATAAAGCTCAGAACGACAGCTTCAGACAATAGAGCATATGACTAATACAGCGTTTTGTTTGCTTAACAGAATTACAACCGGACAGATACTAGATAGAATGTCTATTAATAATGAATTTGTTTTATTATTTCTGATACACTACCGATCGGGCTATTTACTATGGGGGATAAACGTCGGCTTACCGCTTCAACAGTGAAATATAGACGTGCATTATTGTAAGTTTCTACGTGAACTATGATTTACCGTTTTCATATGGATTCAGAGCCTCGTTATCAAGTTTTTGAGAATAATTTTGAAATCTACTCGTAGATTAAAGCTAGCAAGTTGTTGAAATAATCTCATGGTAGAGAAATTTCAAAGAAAATATATGTATGGTTAAATTGTTATAATTTTATCAGTATGACAACCAAAATATAAATGTGCAATAGATATTTTAAAAATAAATTATATAAAAAAATCGATTTTCCAACCGATAATATCGATTTTAAACCGATAATTTGTAAATCCTGAGAGATGGATCAAATTAAAATGGTATATCAAATATAATTGATATAAAATTCAATGTTAATGATCTTAAATGATATCTCGTGGCTGGATTAATTTATAAAGTGGTAAAATGCGGTTGTTAATTAATAGTAGTTCTGTTAATAGTAATGACTTTATATCTGGTTATTAATCTTAGACTTCTGATAAAACCTATTGAGCCGGTACTCTTAACAATTTAACTGTAATTATGCGACAGGCTATTAAATTTAAATTGTTGTATTCAAAAATCTTATTTAATTGCTTTTGAAAATTGAATTAATTAAAGTTAATTTATTAAATATTTAAATGATATTAATTTCAAATTTTCAGTTGATATACTTCTACATTATTTCATTGAATTTAACTGTAAATTTAATTGTT